AAGAAAACTAGTTGGGGAAGAAGTTGGGCTTGAAACCGTTGAGAGATAACTGAGTAGCCTTCACTAAATCAGGCCTATCCTTTTGTACACATGGACTTTAGTTGTGAGGCCATCACCATTGGAAAATGGACTTCCAAGGCTTCAATTTACACTCAAGAATCTCCTAAAGTCGGGTCCAGATGAGGGAGATATGACTGTTTGAAGTTAGACATCCATCCATTTAAGCTAGAAATGAGCAACCTTAATTCAAATAGAAATATCTCTTTTCACACTTAGAATTTGGATGTTAGGCTGCCACCATTAGAAACTAGACTTTCGGGGCTTCAATTTAGACTCAAGAATGACTTAAAACTGAGTCCGGATGAAGGAGATATGCCCATTTGAAGTCGGACTTGGAATCAGATTTTTTGTGACCGACAAGCCATCATTGGTGGATGGCAGGCCACCATTGGTGGACCGCAGGCCACACTTATGGCCTGCTAACCATTGGTGAAAAACCTAGATATTTTGTGCCAGCTATCCCCTAAAAGGTTCAGCTATTCCAGGCTTGATATTTTCGACCTGAGGGGCTGTTTTTCTATATATACCAGGCCTTCCCTCGTGGTTTAAGGTTACAAAAATTTCCAAAAGTTCCAAAACTTGGAATTCTCTCTCTATCTCTATCTTGCAACCTATACACTCTCTCTCTCTACACTTCCTAAACCAATATTGGAGCTCTCCTTGTTGAGATTCTTGAGTCCAAATTTCAGTCTTTGAGAGTGAAAGACTTGTGGTTTGTAAACAAAAGTGTTATTGCTCTTCAAGAGGTAAAATTTTGATCATCTTTGCACTATTTATTTTCTATATTTTCTTGCTAATTTTGAAGTATTTTTCAACTATTTTTATGGGCTGAAGCTTGTGGTTTAAGGCTATTAAAGGTAGAGGTGTTAATCACCCTTCTTTGAACCTTGTTCTCTAAGCCTTTCCACTTGTGTTTCCCATATTTTTCTCAATTTTTTTTGAGTTTTTTACCATTGATTTTCAGTGTTTGCCAGAGGCTAAAAATCATTGTTTTGAATTCCCAAAAATGGAGGGTTTTAGCCTCCCCTCTTTGTGCTTGTTTCCTAACTTAATTGCTCAATATTTTAGCTTGTTATTTTAGCTACTTTTGTCTTCATTCCAGCACATTTTTGTACTTTTTTTGGGATGTTTTTGGACTGTGTAAACTCTATTTTTTTTGCATTGAAATTGGTGGTTTAAGGCCATTTAAGGTTAGGGCATGGTTCACCCATCTTTATTCCTTGTTTGTAAGGCCTTTCCACCTTTGTTTCCCACTTTCAAACTATCTCTTTTTGGGATTTTGAACATTGAATTTCAGAGTATTTTCAGTGGTAAAAATCATGTTTTGAGGTCTAAATTTGGAGGGGTTAGCCTCCCCTCCTTGTGTCTTGTTTACTAGCCTAGTTTATGCTATGTGTTAGCTTAATTTTCTAGCCATTTATAACTTAATTTCAGCATGTTTTAACCTCTGATTTGGACTGTTTTAACTCTTTTTTAGGTTGGTTAAGTCATTTGAGTCTTGTATTGCATGTTTGTAGTGTAAGCGCCCTCACAAGCTTGGTGTTTTAGGCCTTTAGACACCACTTGTTTGAGTTGATTGCATGTTTTAGTGCTTTTCTCACTTATTTTCAGCAAACATAATCTTTTCAACCTCCCTCATTTCTTCACTCTTTGTTTGCTTTGAGGGTTGTGTCAACCTTAGGATTATTTAAGCTTGGGATTGAGGTCCATGCTTAATGGTTTAATCTTCTTTTAAGGGTTCATTATCAACGGCATGAGATCTCTCTCTTGCCTTACACTACTCCTTGTTTGACACATTCTTCTCTTTAGAGGACTTCTCACCAATGGACTTAATTGGTTAAAGAATGGAAGGATAATTAAAATGAGTAACTAAAAGTTAAAACTAAAATTGTGCAAAGCTAAGAATTTGGTTGTGTTTTGGAGTGTTCAATCGGACGTTAATTAAACACAAGGAAAATTGGGGCATTTCATACTCAAAGTGATGAAATGTGCCAATTTTTCTAAGGTCTTCATTGCTCTTGATCATGCATGATAGGATGATGGTTTTTGGTCTCGTTTGTGCATTTATTAAACTTGTACATCTTGGTTCCTTAGCCATTATGCAATGAAATTGCTTGAATTGATGGTTTGATGACAAAGTGTATCACTCATTTGAGATGTTTTGATGATAAGGAGGGATACACAGTACAGACAACCTGTGAGAATACCTTCTCTTTGCTTTGTTTGCTCTCTATTGCAGCAAAAAATGGTGCATCATCAGTGGCCGACCGGCCACTATTTCTGGCCGGCAGGCTATCATTGTTTGACGGCAACCCCCTACTGGTGGCCGGCCGGGCACCACTTCTGGCCCGCCGGCCACCAATGAATTTTGAGCAGAATGTTTGTGAAGCAGAGCAGCTTTGACCTGGAAATGGAAAATCAATGTAAGTGTTATGCAACATAGGCTTTCAAAGGCAGACAGTGGACGTTGTTCGAGTGGAAATTGAGCATGCATGGACCTCCCTTGCTTCCCGGAACTAGTTAATTAGTTTAATTAGCAATTGGTCATTTATTTGTTGTACTTAATTAGTTGTAGCTATTACTTTGTTTTGTATTTATTTAATTAGCTTAGATTGATTAATTAAATTAGCTTGTGTTGTAATTATGTAATTAGTTAGCTAACTAGTTAGTTAATTCAAGTGTTGTAATAATTAGTTAAGTAGTTTAGTTAGTTATTCATTTAGTTTTGTAATAGTGAGCTTAATTAGCTTTAATTTAATTAGTTGTTTAGCTTAGCTAGTTTATTCATTCAGACTCTCCTTCGTGAGATCGTAATGTAATAATGTGTATGTCTTTCAACCCCACGTCTTTCTCCCTTTTATTTATTCGTTTTTGATGGTTAGATTAGGGGCATCACATTTCAATCATCATATCGCATGTTTTCATCCATTCATTTGTCTTGCATACACCGAGGCTCAGTTCATCATTCAAACTTGCATTTTCATTTATTACCTCGTTGAATACATGTTTAAACGCATGCTATGTAATTGTTTCATATAACATGTTAAGTAGCCGAGCCTATTTTAGTCGCATTATTGTATGTGTTGCATTAGTCATATCGCATAGTTAGGAGTCATACATATTTTTCTAACTCTTTTATTTTATCTTAGCTTGGAGTATTAGGTAAGCTTTTAGTGCTTTAGCATAGTTGCATGAGTGTGAGTGATTGCCATGACTAGTATGCTTGCCATGAGGCTAAGTGCTTACTTGTTAAACTATTTAAGTGCCTGTGGATGAAGGCTTGTTGTTTGAATTAGAATGATTTAATGAATGTATGTTTAAGCCCATTTTGTCAAGTGGCAAATTCAAAGCTTTAAGCCCACTTTGTTAAGTGGCAAAAATCAAAAAAATTTCGAAAAACAAACACGAAAATTGAATTATTCCAATTTGAGCAAACTAGTCTATACCTTGTGTGTGTGCGCATCACATAGCAAATGCTAGTCTAATAACCAGAACAAGAGCATATAATGTTAATAAAAATCATATCATGATTAGTAGAAGCCGATCTTTGATCGGGCGAGCAGGGGTGCTCAATTCATGACATTCCCCTCTCGTACCTAAGTTTCCGAGCCGAGACAATCTTAGTGATGACGGACACGTGGCCTTTAGCACGAGTCATGGGTTTTCTAAATTTTCCAAAATAAAATATTTAGGTAACAATTTTGTATCTAGCAAAGCAGTCTATTTTTGGCAATTTGATTCAAAATCGATTTTCTAAAAAATTTACGAGATTTGGACTATTTGGTGTTTATCAATTTCACATTGCCCTTGTGAGATTAGATTTAGAACCGCGGGAGTCCAAATTGTAGGGCTTCTTTCGAGTTTTCCGAAAGGGGGTGCGAAAAAGCTGAGCTACATCTGTGTTGAACAGAGTGATTGTAGGTGCAGGCTATGGACTAATGATACTTTTCCATTGCTCGCGAGGCCCGATCTCTTCTCTCTTCGACTGCCTCTATGTCGTTCTTTTTGTTGTCTGGAACTAAGTGTGCTGACATAGCCATTCTTGCTGAGGGTACTGCCAACTCAACTGGTAACACAACTTAGGATCCATATACTAGAGAAAATGGGGTTGCTTGAGTCGACTTCTTCCTTGATGTTCTGTATGCCCAGAGTGCTACAAGGAGTTGTTCAGATCATGTGCCCCCTACTTTATCTATCATTTTGCTTAGTATTCAGATAAGAGTCTTGTTGGTTGCCTCAGCATGTCTGTTCCCTTAAGGATAGTATGGAGTCGACTTGTGGTACTTGATCTGGTAGGTGTCTAGCAATCTTCCCACATGGTGGTTCATAAGGGGGTCCCATCATCAGACAACATCACCTTGGGTATGCCAAACCTGTAGATTATGTTTTCCTTGATGAAATTGGCCACTCTTGCTCCATCTGCTTTCTTCATCAGTATAGCCTCTACCCACTTGGTACTAACTTCAGTCGCTGCAAGTATCCATCTGTGGCCTTTGGATTACTACACTATAGAACATACTAGGTCAAATGCCCAAGTATGAAACGAGTAAGGAGTCTTGATGTTGTGCAGTTCAACCGCCAGTGTATGTATTAAGTTCCCAAACTTCTAGCAAGATTGACATCTCCTTATAAAGGTTTTAGCATCTTCTTCTATTGTCGGCCAGTAATAGCCAAGGTAGATAAAGTGTCCATATAGTCGCTGCCCTCCATGATGCTCTACTTTGTGGGCTTCCCTCAGCACTTCGTTTGCCTCATCCTTTGATAAACACGTTAAAGGTGCCCCATCAAAGCTTCTTCGGTACAGCTTGCCTTGGTCAATGAGGGTCCGCTTCTTAACTCTGATTGCATCGGCTTTGTTCTTAGGCATCGTGCCATTTCCAAGGTAGTCAATATATTGTTGTCTCCATTATTCACTGCTTAAGAAATGGGCTTTCTCTTTTTTAGGATGGGACTGACATTTTGCACATTGCCTCTACAACTCTATACTTTCCTTTTTCCATTTCTGGCCAGCAGTACCCTTGCACCTGTATTCGTCGATATAGACTGATATCCCTATCTCCGCAGGACTTAGCATGGATCTGCTTAAGTCTGTAAGTTACTTCTTGTCTACCGATGCACCTTGCTAACAGGTTGTTGGGACCTCGAAAATACAACTCTCCTTTAAGGAGCAGGGATGATGCAAGTTCTACTGGTCTGATAGTTCCCTGGCCTATTTTCAGCTGTTGGATTATATCTGTTTTCCATCCCTTGGTATTTTGCTCTGTATGTTTTTTGGCTAACACTGTTGGTGTTGTTCTTTTCTCGATGACGATGGCTATACTATCATCTGGTATATCCACCTTTGCCCCCAGTGTAGCCAAGGCATCGGGAAAACGATTGCGTGTTTGAGGGGTGTGTAAGATTTGGACATCATCAAACTGGATGAGCAACTTTTGATCTATGGTGCAATATGGGGCAAGCAAAGGCTCCTTCAAGGTGAAATCGCCCATTGTTTGCTTAACAACTAACTTGGAGTTGCCCCAAATTTTCAACTTACGGAGGCCTTTCTTTTGAGTAGCAATCAAACCCAGTATCAACGCCTCATATTCAGCCTCGTTGTTTGAACATTCAAAGTGAAGCTTATATGATAAATGAAACTTCTCTCCTTTTTGATTGGTCGGTGTGATGCCAGCTCCACATTTCCTAGCTCTAGAAGCTCCATCAAATTTTAAGTCCCAATAAGTCTCAACTGCGACCGCTGAAACGTGGACCTCACCTGGTAGAGGTACCTCTGCAAGTTCATGTTCACTAGACGGGAATTGGGCAAATAAGTCTGCAAGTGTTTGGCTCTTAATAGCCTTGGGAGTAACGCATGTTATGTCATATTCTACTAGAGCCAAAAGCCATCTTGTCATTCTTTTGGTCAGAGCGGGCTTGTTTAGTAAGTAGCGGACTAGATCACTCCTGGTCACAACCTGGATCAAGTGTGCCAAAAAATAATGGTGCAACTTATATGCGGTAAAGATTAAGGCTAAGCATTGCCTCTCAATTGGGGCATACCGTGATTCGGCACCATTGACTTTGCGACTGATATAATAGACTAGCTTTTCAACGCCGTCTATGTCTTGGACAAGTAGAGCTCTAATAGACCGAGGTATAGAGGTAAGGTACAGTAGCAGAGGCTTTTCAGGCTATGGGCATTCTTGACCATATCAAATGCCTGTTGGTGTTCTGGTAGCCATTCAAACTTGTGATTCCCTTTCAGCAATGTCCCAAAGGAAAATGTTATCTCAGCAAGGGTTAGAATAAGCATCCTAAGGTATGACACTTTGCCTAGGAATTTCTTCAAGGCTTTTTGAGAGTGTGGTGGTGGCATCTCCATGATGGACTTGATCTTATCCCCGTCTACCTCATTACCACATTGGTGTACCAAGAAACCAAGGAACTTTCCTACGGTAACTCTGAGTGCACACTTGAGAGGATTCATATTTAAGCAGAATTTGCGATAACGTTGAAAAACTTTTTCCAAGTCGCGGAGGTGTCGGTTTGCCTAGGTAGACTTTACTACCAGATCATCCACATACACTTCTACTTCATGATGTAACATATCATGGAATACTGCAGTCATAGCGCATTGATAGGTTGCCCTCGAGTTTTTTAAACCGACAGGCATCACTATATAGAAAAAATTTCTCAAGGGCGTTCTGAAAACTGTCGTTTCTATATCTTCTGGTGCCATTTTGATCTGGTTATAACCATTAAACTCGTCCATAAAGGAGAACATCTGATGGCCCGCAGTAGAATCGACAAGTGTGTCAATATGGGACAATGGAAACTCATCTTTCAGGTAGGCCTTGTTCAGGTCGTGAAAGTCTACGCAAACCCTAATCTGGCCATTCTTCTTCATAGGCACAATATTTACTAGCCAAGTTAGGTACTGTATAAGCTCAATGAACTTGGCCCTCTGTAATTTTTCTACTTCTTCCTTAATCTTCGCCTCAAGGTCAGGGTGATACTTTCGAGCATGTTGCTTTATTGGCTTAGAGTTGGGAAATGTGTCAAGGTGATGGGTGACAAGGGATAGGTCAAGACCACGCATCCTGTCTTATGTCTAAGCAAAGACGTCACTGTACTATTTTAACAGTGTTATCAATTCTGCCTTAGCTGCTGAAGCCATTGTGTCGTTGATAAACATAGGTTTGCTCTGCCCTAGTAATTCGCTGAGGTTTACCTCTCAAGTACTTCTTGCTGCAGTTTAGGCCTGTCTTGTATGCACTCAAAAGCGGGCTCAGGGGTCTCCACCAACCCTTTTTGGAATTCGTCACCATCACACTTATTGGTCTCAGGGCTATCCTCCCAGGGTATGAAGTCTGGCCCCCAAGACCATCATAGGTAGTAAACTGTCTTGCCGCTCTCGTGCACCTTAACAATCTTGGGCGAAGGACTTGTAGACTTGCTGCTCCTCTTTTGCCTACTACTTTCTGGAGCTGCTTCTGTATCTCCAATGTCTTCCTACTTCGACAACTTTACCAGTCCTTGGAATTTCATCCATTGATAGTTTGGTAAAGAAAACTGTATCAAAATAGTGTTTCTCCTCCACTCCAAATGGCTTTTCAGACACATTTATGGTCACTGTTCGCTTCCCCAACTTTGCCTTCACACATTGGTGATAACTCGATGGGATAGTCCCATATCGGTGCACCCAAGCTCTGCCAAGTATCATGTGGTAATTTGTGTCAGTTTCAATCACGTGGAACTTAGTTGCAGAGCGGATCTCGCCAACTGCTAAGGCCTGAGCATGAGTATCTTCTGCGAGTTTTGCCTCCGTAGGTACTGTTTCAAGGAGCTGGCCAGTTGTGATTTCTTTTAACTCATCATAGTAGGACGCCATGTGCACTTGATCGCGCACAGGCCCAAGATACCCAATCATGTCTACGTTCTTCTCCTTCTTCTTGTGGTTAGAATAAGGATAAGGTTTCTAGCCGCTTCAATCAAGGCTAAAAAGGTGGGTAGATTGAAGTTCACCAAGAAAAGTTTGCATTCGCGTATGGCGCCCTCCACACATATGCTGACTAAATGAGCCTCATCCACTGGTTCGTAGCAATCAATGGCTTTGTCCTGAAACCGTTTGACATAAGCTAGTCTATCTTCACCTTCTTTCTGGACATCTCACCCAAGTGTAAGGGTAGTGACTTTTTCCTGGACTTGGAAGAACTTTGTATGAAACTTGTTCACCATCTCCACCTAACTCTTGATTGAGTTGGGGGCCAAGTTCACATACCAGCTGTAAGCCCTTTCAGTGTGGGATTTGGAAAACTCCTGAAGGCACAGAAGGTGGTCACTACCATAGACACCAAGGATTTCAATGAACTTCACCACATGTTCTCTGGCGTTGCCTTGTTTCCTATCAAACTTCACAAACTTGGGTGCTGTATACCTAGTTGGGTATGGCATGGCCAGTATATCTTGAGAGTATGGGGGCTTCACATCTGGATTAGGAAGAGATGGCAGCTACTTCTTGCTGCGCTCTTGCTTAAGCATAGTTTGTATGTTGGCTAAAGTAACGAAACGAGTGGGCTGAAATGGGCCAGTTTGCCCTTGGGTAACTAAACCAGTAGCCGTACCGTTCGCATGAGGTACCGCTGAAGGCACCTAGATTGGAGCCCGATTCTCAAGGAATGGGTTAGGCACTAGGTTTGGGGTTGTTACAAGCAAAGGTGCCTGTGTTGGAGTTGGTCTGGACGCCATGGCCATAATAGCCTCAGTGAGAGTTTGCAAAGCTGTCAGGATCTCCCTTTGCGTATCCTGAAGTGACTGGACTGCCTCAACCACAACACTGTGGTCATGGTCCTCAACATGTGCTGCTTTACCATTAAAAGAACCTTGCTGCCGTGGTTGTTGCTGAATTTCATCTTCTGCCATTTTTTTGGGTGAAGTATGAAAGCCTCTAGGAGTATGAACCATCAACAAAGTAGCATCCCCAGCAGAGTCGCCAGAAATGTAGGGGGGGTTCAAGGTTAGGAAGGTGATTAGAGAGGCAAAACTATGTTAATGGTCCAAGAATGGTGGAATGACTAGAGAATGAGCAACAACAACTGTCTGGGAGGTTGAAGAGTGAGTAGTTGAGTGAAGATGAAGCAAGTAGCTTAAGAAGAAGACAATGGCAGTGCACAAATGGGTAGCATCTTTCCCAAATCTGAAAAATTCCTCTCCTTGGACCTTAGGAAATGGGTCCTATTTATAGTCTTTTCCTTGGTATCAAGAGGACACCAAGTGGCCAAATAGAGAGAAGACAGGTGTCCCTAAGGATCACATAAAATATTCAACCTTGAGCCACCAGGCTGAAGGTGCCACTTGTCCCTCTGCATGTACTGTGTACTATTTGTTTGCCTCCCCAACTACCTTTTTTGAGTCTTAGCAAGTGTAGTTACGACAGGAAGACTGTCACAGCTCAATGGACACTATTTATTTACTGTATTGGCTTCCGCCAGGCCCTGTACTCTGTTTTACTGTATTACTGTTCTGCAGGCCTTCGGTAATCTCGGATTACTGGCCGGTTACGGTGCTAAACCCATAGGGCTGGGTTTGGGTCGTGACAATTATAGCGGTAAACCTTGTTGCTGCACTTACCTTCTCAGTTCTATTTAGCCAGTACATGCATTCTTAAGACTCTATTAGCCTACTATCGGCTATGCTCGTGTTCACCTCAACGAAACCTCCACCCTTAGCCACCTAACCACAAACTCCCCAGCTTCTCCGGGGTGAAGGCCACAACCAAACCTATAACTATCTAGATTGTACCTCGACCTTTGTTGTGTTCTGGACTCGGGTTTCGTGGTTGTATGTTGTTGTCTTTGTCTTGTTTCCTCTCTTTAATTCTTTAAATTTGAGTTTTGGGACTTGTTGGGCGAGTTTGGAATAGGTTGGTTGTCTATTGGTGCAAATGGTTGTTGCCCAGGTTTTGGCTTCTTCGCTCGAGCGAGCCTTGGCTATTTGCTTCTTCGCTCGAGCGGGGGTTCTTACGCTCAAGCAACAATTGAGAGTCCTCAGGTCTTTTCCCAAACCTAGCTTTTCTGGGAAGGTGGAAGTGCGTCGCTCGAGCGAGGCTTCTTGCGCTCGAGCGAGCCTTGTGAAATTGTTTCTTCGCTCGAGCGAGAACTCTTACGCCCGAGCATGCGTCTGTGTTGGTGGCAGACCTGAAGCTTGGTATCCTACGCTCGAGTGACGTTTCTTGTGCTCGAGCAAGGTCATTGTTGTGTCTGGTCACTCGAGCGACAATTCCTTCGCTCGAGCGAGCCTCGCATTTATCAGTTCATAGCAGCGTGATTTTATATCACTTTTTGGTCCCTTCTTCACTTAAAACCCTAGATCGGCTGCCTCTCTCTCTAAAACACTCACTCTCTCTACAAATACTACTTGATCTAGAGTCCTTCTACCCTACTTCCTTTGTAAAAAAGGTAGAGTACCGCGTGGGCTTCCTTTTGATCCGAAAAAGTTCAAGTTTGGAGCATCTTCAAGTTTCTCTTTCTTCCTCTTTGAGCTTCTCCATTTGAGGTAGGGATAATCTACTCTTTAATATGAGTTTTGACCTAGACATTTGTCATTTTTGCATAAATGGTGGAGTTGGGGAGTTATGTGAGGTTAGGGTTGGATTTTGGTTTGTGAAAGAGGGGTTTTCTATTTTGGACTCCATATGTGTATGTGAGGTCTTGAAAATGGGGTTATGTGTGTATAATGGGTAAAATTTAGCCTTGGGTGTAATATTTGGGAAATGGGGAAAAATGCCCTAGTTTGGATTAAATAAACTATTTTGTATAAATAGTGAAATCAATGTAGAGATATGAAATTGGTTTGGAAATTATGAAATTGGGGGAAAATGTGATTAAATGGTGTAGTTGGATTGGTAAATCACTCACCTATGAAAAATTTGATAAATTATATGTTGATAGATTTATTTATCTATTTAGAAATATTCGTTTTGAGCTATCGGTGGAGGATAGCTATGATTATTGTAGAAAATGCATGAGGATTAGGAAAATTGAAACTAATCAATTGTATTATGTCATTGAATATGACGGTTTGAGTAAATAATTGAATATGTGAATTGATGAGTTATTGTATATGACAACGTGTTTAAATACATTGTATATGTATCTTTGAATGGGAGGAGATAGGTGATGTACTCTATTGTTTGGGAGGAGATAGGGGATGGACTCCATTGAGAATTAAGTTGGCCAGAGTGTCCAGGGTGAAAGTCCCAAAATCTTATTTATTTATGGGTGCCAGTTCCCTCGGACATAGTTCCATAAAATGGCAAGAAATAGAAGTGTTGGACTGATGAATGCATTGAATTGTGAACCATTGAGTTGAAATCTCATTTTGGTTGTTTTGATGATTATGAATTTGGCAAATAGATTTACCCAAAATGGATGACTGGAAATGAATTGAGATATGGTTATGTAAATTGAATGGTCATGGAAATGATATGGTAGGTTGAGAAATATCCTACATTTATCTGATGCTTATGCCTTAGTTAATTCTCATATATTGTGAAGCATATCTCTACTGGGTTTTGGCTCACCCTACTTGGGACACCATTTTCAAGAACTGGTGACATGTCGCCTCCAAGGGCATAGCTTGAGAGGTTTAGGGGCTGAAGGCTCCATTTTTGCTATTTCATTCTGTGTTGGATGTTTTCTTTTTAAGCCGAGAGCTTTACTTGTATAGAGACTAGACTCTTCTTTTGTTGTAACCAAGTGATAATTTGGAAAGATGTAAGCCCGTAAGGCATTTATTTTGTTGTTATCAATTAGAGTTACATGCTATAATTTCTGGAAGAATATTTGTGAAAGTGTAACGCATGTAATATCTTTTGTAATACAGACTCTGATGAATGAAAATGTAACATTTCTATTATGTTTATGATTCTTATGAATGAATGATTTATATAATATTTTGAGGGCGTTACAAAGCTTGTTATCAGCCATGTTGTGCCTTAGTACCAAGCCCAAGGAGACTTTCTTAGTCCTGCCTATGCTACTAAGGCAGGTCCATGACCTGGGTAATGGAAAGGGAATCCCTTACACTCAGGCTACTCAGCTTATCTTCGTGGGATCACCAAGGTAAACTGGTATCTCTGGTCCTGCTATCAGCTCTACCCAGTAAGTCTTGGGGCTTGCTATCAGCGCCAAGTCAATGAACTTTGAGGCCTGCTATTAGCCCTAGGCTAGTAATGTCTTAGAGTTTGCTATCAGCGCCAAGTATTAGCCAACTAACTTGTAGATGGAGAGCTTCTCCTAAAGGCTACTATCACCTTGGCAGGAGGTTTTCCTCCGCATGTTAGTTGTGGCGACTGTAATTACTGTGGTAGTCACTTCCCACGACAAATTCAAATGGCAAAATTGGCAATAGTAGAAATGGCGGCCCTGACAAAATACCTCCGCAACTTGGGCACTGCAAATACTGCCTCTGCAACTTAGTTGCTTCGGTTTTCTCGTTCCCTCAGCAACTCCAAATGGCTGCAGTACCGACAATACTGGGAATGGCGGCAGTACCGACAATACTTGGAATGGCAACGCTGAATCAAAGTGCCTCCGCAACTTGACCGCCACAAGTGTTGCCTCAGCAACTTAACCGTTGCATGTGTTGCCTTTGCAACTTGACCATTGCATGTATTGCCTCAACAACTTGACCGTTGCATGTGTTCTCTCTGCAACTTCACTTAAGCATTTTCTTTCATGGAGTCTGTTCGGACCCTAGGCGGGTCGGACCTGCTTCGGCCCACTATTGGCCCAATTCCCTTGAGCTTTAGCCCATACTCTCTTACTCATTCCTGGTCACCTTGATGGGGCGACCTCAGCACTTGGATCCACACTTAATTTGGGATTCAATTTCTGACCATCTACACATATTTATTTGGGTCACATTAATTACATCTATCAACATTTTCTCTTTACTTTTTTACCTACTTTCTCTATTTTTCTACACATTCTTTTTTAATAAAAATTCAAAAAGTGCACTTATTTAGAACATCTCAAACCACTCCTTAATTGAATTAAAAAAACATAAAAATAAAATAGACTAAATAAGTCAATAAGATAAAATGTCACATCCAAATCATAATCATTTTATTTTTCTCTCATAAAAGTTAAAAAAATAAATCAAACAAACTTTTTAATCCCAAATTAAAAAAATCTCAACTCACAAAAATATATTAAAAGAGTCAATGTCATATTTAGTACCCTATGATCAAAATCAAAAGTCAAACAATCAAACGGCCGACAATATTCCATTCCGTTGGTTGTCTGAACTCTGCCTATCTATCCATTATGCGGGACCCAAACACGCCCTAAAACCCTGATTGGTGGAGCAGGAAAAAAAAGAAAAAGAAAAAGAAAAGGTGACCAATGAGAGAGAGAGGGGGTCAAAGGGGTGGGGAGAAAAGGGGGATGAATCATTACTCAAAAATAAATCAAACAAACTTTTTAATCCCAAATTTAAAAAATTTCAACTCACAAAAATTTATTAAAAAAGTCAATGTCATATTTAGTACCCTATGATCACAATCAAAAGTCAAACAATCAAACGGCCGACAATATTCCATTCCGTTGGTTGTCTGAACTCTGCCTATCTATCCATTATGCGGGACCCAAACACGCCCTAAAACCCTTCCAATTTTTCACCCCTCCTTCTCTCTTCTAAATCCCTCCGTCACGCTTTTCAAAGCTCTCAATTATGCACACATACAGTTCTTGTAAAACCACTCACTAGCAATTCACTATTGTTCTTCAAAAATCAAAGAGTATATATATATATACACATACAACAATATACATGAACAAATGTCTAGTGCTATAAGATTCTCTCTGCCCTTCAAATCACTCCGTTTTTCATGTGATCAACACTACCCAAAATCAGCCTTTAGGAGAGCTTCTTTGGCGACTAAGCATGATGTTTGTTCGAGAAAGATAGATTTGAATGGTGGGTATGATCGTATTAAGGCTTTGACTAGCCACAGCGAAGAAGGGTCTGTTCAGGGGCTCGAGTCTTCGCTTGCTTCGGTCAAGTTAGAACCCATTTCAAGCGAGAGCCAGTTCGATCGAGTGGTTGCCGAGGCTCAACAGCTCGAAGAATCGGTTGTAATTGTGTGGTATATATCTGGGTTTTGTTGGGTTCTCTTTGATTTTGTTCAATTTAGTGAGGTTTTGGTTTAATTTTTCTTAATTTGTTTTAGTTTTTGTTACTGGGTTTGTTTTATATTTTGCTCATGGAAGTTTGGGCATATGGGTTTTTGTTAGTTCTTTTTGTGGAATGTTTGAAATTGTTTAGAATATGCCATTCATTTGATCTCTGGATTCTTTGTTTTGTTATTGGCTTCTTGCTAATATATTAATGAAGCATGAATGTTGGATCATAAACTGTGCATAATAGGCTTAATTTAATTCAGAATTATTTTTTACTAGAGTTTTTTAGGAGAATACAGAAGATTGGTAGAGCATTTGGGAGAAGTTGTGTTATTTATCTTCTTATTGGGCATCTCCTTTAAATGGATTTCACTTTTTAAAATTTATAGAGATTGGATTGTTATTCATAGAGCTTGAAGATCCTTGGTTTTCTTTTCTTTTTCTTTCCTTTTTGATTTTGGTGGACTTCTCCTTTGTATTTTCGCTTTTTAGTGTTTAATGAATTTTCTTTGTTGCAGATTGAAAAGAAAAAAAAAAATTATGCATTTGTGCATGTGTCTGCAACTTTGTATGTGTGGTTTCATATGTATGTTTCTTGAAATGAAGCTTATTTTTAGAATTGAAGTCTATTTTGTCAAGGAATATTGAATTGAGTTGGGTTGTCATGTGAATTTACTTGGATTTGTAGGATGGCAAGCTGGTGCAGGAAATGTGTATATTTAAAACCAAAATTGGAAAAATTAGCAGCAGATTACTATCCAAGGTTAGATTGAATTTTTGTTTATAACCATCTGAGATCTAATTTTCTTGTGCTGGTTATCAAAAGCTTGTTGTGTGAGCTTTATGCAGGAAAGCGTGTTAGTACTTGCCTTTTGAGTCTTTCCATTTAAGTAGTCGTAATGTATCAGTACTTTACTTGTAGGGGTGATGAAAAGGTAGTTTATCTCTAGAACTGCCACGTGCATTCTTTCTCTTGGCGTATTTAATTCTTCCATTAAGATTTTGATGTATAGCATTAGCAATTGTACCTTCCACATCATGCTAAAATTTCTAGGTATTTGACTTTTATTTGGATAATTTAGAGGCCTTGATTGCAAAAATTTGTTAATCTGGAGGTTTAGTGTAGGCATAATAGTTGGAAGGGAGGTGTGCCATCAAGGTTACATCTCTTAAAGTGGTTTCAGTAGGTGGGAAGTGTTCTGTAGTTTTCTTCTGCTGTTTATTTATTTATTTTTGTTGTGTGTGTGTGATGCCTCAAGGTTTCAACATTTCTTGCTTGTGATTGCTTTGTTCTTATGGGGGAAATTCCCCCTTCCATTTTCATGTAATTTTCTGCTTAATGTTCAACATCTCCATTTCTAACAAAAAAGTAATCAAAGAATTTAGTTGAACTATGTGAAATGCATTGTACATCATGTATCTGCCTACGGCTCTATAGGGGTGTGTACAACTAATCGCACATCATGTACCCCTATATGTTTACATATGTGTACCTTAACTAGAGTATAAAAAATTTCAAATCTTACTTGGTGACCCCATAATTATTAACCATTATATAGTATTGTTGATGCAGGACACGATTCTATTGTCTAGATGTGAATAATGTTCCACACAAGCTTGTGGTTCGTGCAGGAGTCACTGTAAGTCAATCAACTTTACAAATAATTTACATGCTATTGGTTTTTGTTTTGCCTTATTGTTTCATGTTATTACCTGTGCTCGTTTGTATTAGGAAATAGAAATAGATAAGCTATTGTTCTCTTCTGAGGTGCATGTTGAGTATTAATAACAAATTGTAACAATAATGAACAGTCCATGAACTGAAGCTATGGGTTGGATTGCAGATATATGGTCATTCAAATGTCTCATAATACATAATATTTACTTTTTCAACTGAAAGTTCTATGTTACATAGATTTGGGTACAAGTATCAGGTGTAGGTGCATGTCCAAATATCATACCTTCATAAACTTAAATAAATTTTAAAATACTGGGATATGTATCCAAAAATTGGATATGGGTAAGCACAATGGTCATTGCATATTGGATAATAATGTTAATAATTTATTGTAAATTAACTAGAAATGTACTTGAAATTAAATTATATTTAGGAAAAATATGGAATTTCAATCTCTCATGTATGTTAGAGGCTAAAAATGTTTATTTCCTTGGAAATGTGAGTTTATTCTTATTGTAAAAAAATTAGTGGATCTAAGTGTCTAATTGGGTATGAGTGTTAGAAAAAGCACATATCCCAACCTTTACCTTTGTCATATTCAGTAGACATGAGTACTTTGGAGAAGTAGAAAAGTCTATGTAACATAAATTGATGCATAGTGCACCCCCCCGGGGGTGGGTGGGTAAATTGGTTTTGTTCTTTAGGTTTAGTGGACTCAAACTTAGTGTAGCCTTGGGGTTATAGATTGTAAATTGGTTCTGTTCTTTAGGTTTAGTGGACTCAAACTTAGTGTAGCCTTAGCAGAGAGCATTAATGGTGAGGTCTTGAGGGAAGATTTGAAAGGTAAGATGTTTGTAGCGACAAGTTAGTGGTTGTTTTGTGATACTTCTTGAAAACTTTTTAAAATTCTCATCTTTGGCTTTTTGTGTCTAAGAGCACTTTCTATTCCTTAAGTGAGTCTCTTGATATTCCCATGATTTCAAATCTAGCAACATGTGGCTCATAGGTGGATGTATATAGAGTTCATTGCTTTCAGGTATATTGTAGTTTTAATATGTTAGGCCCCTGTGAAAATTCTACTCTTAAGACTGTGACTAGCCGCCAGTAAGAAAGTTGACAATGCCTTGTGATGGTATGCAGCTTAATGTGAAACTTCACTTTGAACTTGAAATATCACTTATTAGCTTGCGATGACAAACTATGAACTTATGGGAAAGATCAATCCGGCAGGGAAACAATTTGACTCTTAAGAGGCAAAGAAAGCATGGACACCATACTCTAAAGCAACTATAAGATCCATCCTCAATCTATAGAAAATATTAATACATGAATGATCTGTTGACTAGGAATTATGTGCAACTTGTGTAGGATATCTTAAATGTCTGTTTTGATGGGATCTCTCAGCCTGTGATGAAGGATATATTACATACTCTTAGAGTACATGTGACATATAGGCAATGCTACGTGGTTCTCCGGGACTACTAAATAAGGATATCCTTATTCCAGTCTTCTAGATTTGTGAGGGAATCTGTTTTTACAGAGCTCATAGTTTCCTGTTGTTGGAGGAGTGGGAACATTTCTAGTTAGTATACTGGAAAAATAACATTTCCTTTCTAATTAATTATGCTCAGATGAAATTAGTTGTAAACATGCTGGACCTTTCCTTCTTTGACCATACTGCCATGGGAATAATTTGTTGTTTTCATTAGTCCCATGGCTTCACCCATATAAATTTGCAGGAATGGTGATTGACACTTTGTTACCTTTTCATGCATGTGGGGGACTCCGAAACTTATGCAGAAAATGCCTACCATACAGGTAAATCTATGGATTTGGTTTTAACTTAGATGATTTTCATGATTTCCCCCCTCCTAATAATGATAAAGGACCGTGTAACAGCTGTGGAAGGATGGCAAGAAACAGGCAGAGGTGATAGGAGGCCACAAAGCATACTTGGTGGTTAATGAGGTTCAGGAAATGATTGAAAATGAGTCTACCGTGTAAACTTTCTCCTCGACGTTCAATATTCTGCACCCTTACTTTTGTGCTTTTACAGATTCTTAACATGAAATTCTGTTTTTATTTCTTTGAAGAAATCAAACTAGCTAAATTTTTACAGATAGACATAAATTATAATATTGGCATTTTTATTTTGCCTCACTTTACAGAAATATCATTGTTTTTACTGGAACAAGTGATATTTGAGAAATTGCTGCCCCAATTTTTTTGTGGAAACTGATGCGTCCTACCGGACCGAAAGCTGGTGGTTCTCCATGAAAACAATATCGGTTACTGTTGCATACATTGGCATGAAATCTTGTTTGTTCTTCTTGAATGGCTATGAGATGTATTGGTAAGTTGTATAGGGAAGAGGATTAAATCAAACAAAACTAAGCTTGGTGCCACAGCCAGAATTTACTTGGTACTATATTTATGTATGTTCTCTTGAAACAAATACATTTGATTTTTTTTTTCTTTTTTGTATTTGTGTTTGTAGTTGAAGGCCTGTTTTCCTTTTGCTATTGTACTTGTCATAGTGTTTTTTAGGGGTTATGCATCATTAGTCTCGTTTGGAAATATGTTATTTTAGTAATTTTTTGATTTTTTATAAAAAAATATACAGAAAAATAGAAAGGGTGATGCGACAACTTATAGTGACTTTTTTATTTTTTAGTTAAAATATATAGTTGACAAACGAGAACTAAGTATGGGTATATCAATAATTATAGTGTTCATTTTATAATTAAAAAAAAAAATGAACGGTTTATTTTTAAAATCACAGTAGTGTTCATTTTTTTTTAAAAAGACAAGTATGATATGATGATATAGTTCTAAATGTTCGATTATCAATTTGTCTTTTGTTACATTAATGATCTTTTTTGTTCGGATCATGAAGGTGAATCTGAAATGGGATTGCACAACAAAACCCCTTATCCCACTTGCCAAGTTATTTAGCCTCTGTTTGGCAAGTTAGTTTTCAGGCTTTTTTGGCTATTTTAGCCACAAAAAACAAAATAGGCTATTTTAGCCATAACAAACAAAACATCACATCCAACCCATAATCATTACATTCTTCTCTCACAAAAAAAGTCAAAAAAGCCAAAAAGTCAAAAAGTCTTTTCCAAACCAAGCTTTTTAGCCCAGGTTAAAATAGCTAAAAAAGTCAAAAAGTCAAAAAGTCAACCCACTTCCCAAACCAAGCCTTAGTCTAATGGGTAGTGTCAAAAGTATATCATGTTATTGAGCAAACTTCTCACCCAACTGCCACCATCAGCTAAGGTGCGAGGCCTAGCTACTTTGGCACCAATTAGTTAAATGCTAGAACTGTGTTGTTTGTGAATTTTGATAGAGATTTGAAAAGGGGAAAAAAAAATGTGTGAATTGTAGGTATATTTTATTTACATTTTATCCATTATTCTTTTGATTTTTTATTTTTTTATTTTTATTTTTTCAAATTCCTATTTAAATTTATGAACCAAACACAATTAAAACTTTTCAATCTAAGGATGTTACAAAAAATATTATTATCGACCATTCAATTATTTAACCTTCAATTGTGCCTTTGGATTGTAACGCCCTCAAAATATACAGAATACCCATCATTCAGACATGCAGTAATATAAGAAAATCAATGTCTTTCCATTCATCAGAGTAGTTCTTACAACAGTATTACATGTTAACAACAAAAGCAAGCGCCCTACGGGCTTACAGCTTTCCAAGTCAACACTTGGTTACACAAAAGAAGAGTACTAACTCTATACAAAATAAGCCATTGGCTTGATATACATGTAATACAAACAAAATTAATCAAAAAGAGTCTTCAACTCCCATAACTTCCAAGTTATGCCCTTGGAGGTGACATGCTACCTGTACCTGAAAAATAATGTCCCATATAGGGTGAGCCAACGCCCAGTAGAGATATGCTAAACACAATATGAGCAGTAACTAAGACATTAGCAATTGATAAATGTTTAACTCCCATAAATCAATTCATAAAACCATTTCCATTACATGACCACTATATCTATGTTTCATTTCATTTTCCATTTCTTATCCAATTTCCAAATTCATACCCATGGCTCAGAACCTGGCCACACACTCTAAACGAAATAATAATTCATATTAAAGTTTCCCAGTTCGCAATAGATAAGCATACAAGCTGTATCAACACCTCCACATATAAGCATATGAGCCATATCAACACTTCCATAGATAAGCATATGAGCTATATCAACACACTAACTAACAAGCATATTAGCTGTATCAGTGGAGTCCATCCCCTATCTTCTCCCAAACAACATCCGGTTTAGAGATCCATCCCCTATCTTCCCCTAAACCGTGGAGTACATCCTCTATCTCCTCCCATACACACAACGTATATACTTCTCCTAAACCGTGGAGTACATCCCCTATCTCCTCCCACACACACAATGTATATACACATAGGTCATATACACAATCAATCAATATATAACGTTAATGTATTCTATCAACCATCATACTCTGTGACACATCCACTCGATTAGTTTTTGTTTGCCTAATCATCATGCATTGTCTACAACAATCAAAACTACCCTCCACCGGTAGTCCAAGCAATTATTTCTAAGCAGATAATAAAAGCTCCAACAGATAAAATATCAATGTTTTCAAAAGTGAGCGATTTATAAATCCAACTCCACCATTTCACAACATAATGAGCCAATTTTATTATTTCTAACCCAATTCCATAAGTCTACAATTTTTCCAAATTAATTATACCAATTAATTTATACAACAGATTAGGGTTTTCTACCCCCCATTTCCCAATATAGACCCAAGAGTCCAAATATCAACAACCAACAACAACATCATTATTTTGAAACCCAAAATACACATTTTAGAATCAAAATAATAAACCCTCTTTTATACATTTTGAAACCCTAGATCTCAAAACCAAACCATTTAACAAAGTGCCCAAAAATCTAGGTCAAAACCCATAAGAGTGAGTAGGAATCCCTACCTCAAAAGATGAAACCCAACGAAGGAGATGACGAAAATGAAGATGCTTCAAATCACAAATTTCTCGGATAAAAAAATAGCCCTCGACGATCAACAACCTTTTTGTAAAGGCCAAAGGTGAGGAAACAACTCCTACTAGATCAATACTTAGAGAGAAGTGGAGGTTTTAGAGAGAGAAGCTCTCAAATGGCATTTTTGAAAAGTAAGAGAGAGAGTGAGAATGTAAAAAGTGACTTGAAAATGCCCAATAGCCTTCTGATATACGACAGGTCTGCTTGAGCAGAAAACACAACGCTCGAGCCTCAAAAACAAAGTACTGAGTTCGCTCGAACGCAAGAAGTCCCGCTCGAGCTCCAAGACACAAGAATAAAGTACATCCGCTTGAGCGTGAAAACCAGTCCGCTTGAGCGTAGATTTTCCTCTCCCAGAACTTACACCAAAAAGTACTACCCGCTCGAGCGCCAACAAGCTCGCCCGAGCGCGACCCGCCCGAGCGCAGGAAATCCGCTCGAGCGTAGAAATCACACCTACAAAAGTTTTGCAGAGCACGAAAATACTGGGAGTGTACAATCTCCGCTCGAGCGCTATACGACCCGCTCGAGCGGAACGACCAAACACCCGGCAACAAGAAATTAGACCAAGGCTCAACCCACCTGCTCGAAACATGCCCAACACATCCTAAAACTCAATCAAATGGAATTAAAGGACGACAACAAGATAGACACAACTACCAACTCTACGGAACCGAGTCCGGAATGCAACAGAACAGTAAAGGGAATACCGGAATCGCTATATGGATTCCCAAAATTATAAATTTGAGGGGTTGTGGGATCTACTACTGGTTTTGTTTAATTCATTTGAATTGTTTATTTTGTAAAAAAGTTTAGATATATCATTTATATAAAAAAAATTAAGTTAATTTGATAATCATACTTTTTTTATTTTGTAGAATTTGTTAATTTGTAACAATTTTTTATTTATTCAACGTAAACAAAATCAAATAATACTCCAATAGTATTTGATAATTTTTATGGCAGTGGTACCAATTTTGAGTAGCCTGAGCTCTTTATTATGGCAATGTTGGTGCGGCCGGAACGGCTGCGGTCCAAGCTAGATGTAAATTTTAAAAGAAAAAAAAAAAAGGAGAATAAAAATGGTGTGTAATGTCTGTTAATTTGGTTGCTAATGCTATTATAAACTATTGATTCTATATTTATTCTGTTTATAAAATACAAGGTCGTTTTTTTTAATAGAAAATAGCAGAGGTGAAAAAACTACAAAAGTTTTTAGGTATCATTTGACAATTGGGTTGCGTTGATTTTTTTAGCTAAATTAGTCACAAAATATAATAAAATAATGTTACATTCAAATCATAATTATTTTATTTTTTTTTCAAAAAAATCAATCCAACCGAACTTTTTAACTTGAACTAAAATAACTAGAAAGTAAAAAAAAACTAACCTAACTTACCAAATGAAGCCTAAGAGATGGCTTCCACACGTAAAGGTTGTGTAAAATGAATTTTACACTACAAAAATTTATAAAATAAAAAATATACTACAAAATTTCGAAAAGACAAACAATTTTTTTTCAAAAAAAATAAATTAGAAACACAAATATCAAACACAATTTTTTCATTTGAGATGAGGCTCACACTATTGTGTTAGTTTTTACGAAAATTTATGCATAAATTTCATACATGAGAATGTTAATTCATTTAGTTCCAAGAGTTTTCTTATAAATCAATTAGTTTATTTTGTTTTGAAAAATTATATTTATTTGATTTTGTGCTATTTGAGTTTAAGTGAATTCCTTTTGTGATTTATATTTTTACTTTTGTGATTCGTTTTTGGGATGAGAATGAAAATGTAAGGCGTGGAAAAATTTTTTTTGATGGATTGGTGGCTAAAGTGTGAGTTGTCGAGTGTGGAAATCTACATTTCTGTTAGTGTAGTTTTCTAATGTTACATTAGAGTGTTACATTTGAAAAAAGTAAACTAAAGAAATTTCTGTATATTACATTGATTGGAGTGTTATGTTTGAAAAAAAAACACACTAAGAAGTTTTTTTTGAAATGTTACGTTGTTATGTTTGTGAAAAACATACTAATGAATTTTTTAGTGTGTTACATTGGAGTGTTAAGTTTTTTGAATGTTATGTTTGGGATAGTACATTAAGGAGTTTTTGTGTGTTATATTGATTGGAGTGCTTCGTTTGAAAAAAAATACACTAAAGGAGTATTTTTAGAATGCTACGTTGTTATACTTGTGAAAAGTGCATTAAGGAGTTTTTTAGTGTGTTATATTAGAGTATTACATTTTTACAGTGTCACGTTTGAAAAAATATGTTAAGGAGTTTTTATGTGGTACATTAATTGAAGTGTTACGTTTGGAAAAAAAGAAAAAAAAGTACAACAAAGAGTTTTTTAGTGTGTTATATTGGAGTATTATGTTTTTCAAATGTCACGCTTGAAAAAAATACACTAAAAAGTTTTTGCGTGTTACATTAATTAGAGTGTTACGTTTAGAAAAAAATATACTAAGGAAATTTTATAGAATGTCACGTTGTTACGTTTGAGAAAAGTACACTAAGGAATTAATGTGTTAAATTAAAGTGTTACGTTATTAGAGTGTTATATTAAAATGTTACGTTTGGAAAAAATGCACTAAAGCGTTTTTTTTTTTGAAGTGTTATATTTAGTAATTTCAATATTATCAGAAAATCTAAATTTGTCCTTCAACATATAACAGATGTACTTTTATGCTTGACCATTTATGTAATTCACATTAGAATGAGACTTTTAAATCTGTAAAAAAAAAGTTAGGACAAAATAATTTATAAGATCATTATTTGAAACTTTCTGGTGTTTTACCTTAGTTTTAATGATTTGTTCTCTTCAAGTAAAAGAATTACAAAAAGATTTCCATAATGAAAAGTAATTTTATTTTAGTAATTACCAAACATATAAACTTTTTAAATAAAATAAAATAAAATAAAATAAAATAAGCCAAACAAGAAATTACTTCAATTACTGTAGTTTCCTTATTCTCATTCTGTGTCCATATCCATAATAAATGCATGCCTCCATGCACGTAAACCCTAACACCGAATCATCCACCGTCAATTTTCAATCAAGCGTCCCATAATCGCCCCCATACACGTATCATCAGTAGTTGCTTCCCTTCCCACCCATCTCTCTCTCTCTCTCTCTCTCTCTCTCTTCAATTCTAACGCGACCGTTTCGAAAAATCTCCACCTTGTTCGCCTCTGTATATTTTCCCTTTTCTCTCCATCGAATTGTTCCAAAATCGTTGCTAGATTTTCGATCTTGCCCTTTAACGGCTTCAATTCCTCACAAATTACACGTGAACTTGAAGCAAATTCCACCCTTTGTAAGTCCCAACGATCCCAAAACTCTCTCTTTCTCTGCAATTTTCGCATGAATTATCAAACCCCATTGTCAATCATGTGTATATCGTATTTGGGTTTCTGTATTTTTTTTTTCAATTTTTTTTTTTTTTTTGGTGTATGTTTGATTTTAGTTCTATGTATGTTATATCTCTGATTATTCAATTTTGTGTTTGTTGTTTCAGTTTCACAACCCATCAATTGTAAATTTGTCTGAAGGTGTGTAATTGCAATGTTAATTTTGGGTTTTGTTTTTGTTTGAATTTAGTGGTTTTATTGATTTTTAAAAATTTTTTGGGGTGTGTGTGTGGGGGTAAATTGAATTAGGGTTTTCTTGAGATGGTTACTGGGAGTAAGATAGATATGCTGTCTGATGTGAATTTAAGGAGGAGCCTACAAAATGGGATGACGAGAGGATCGAATGGTAATTTAGAAGATACTTTGCATAGTGAGCTTGAATTAATGCTGCGAGAGCAGCGTAGTCGTGGTGTTATTGATCAGGAGAGGGATCTTAATATGTTTCGGAGTGGCAGTGCTCCTCCTACAGTTGAAGGGTCTTTGAGCGCAGTGGGTTGTTTATTTAGCAATCCAAATTTTGCACTGATTGATAATAGCAGTAGTAATGTCGATGAATTATTGTCAGAAGAAGAAATTCGATTGCACCCTGCTTATTTATCGTACTACTATTCAAATGAAAATCTGAATCCTAGATTACCCCCACCGTTACTGTCAAGGGAGGATTGGCGTGTGGCACAAAGGTTTCAGGCAGGGGGTTCGTCCTTTGGGGGGGTTGGTGATTGGCCGAATAGGAATTTGGTTGATGTCGTTGGCAGTTCATCATTATTCTCAATGCAGCCTAGCTTATCTGTACAGAAGGCAGAAGAGGAGTTGATGGAGTTGAGGAAAGCTAGTTCAAGGAGTATCTCACGGCCATCCTCCACTGAGTGGCTGAACAGAGGCTCTGACAGTTTTATTGGATTGCCAGGTGCAGGATTGGGTAAAAGGAGGAAGAGTTTTGCCGACATTCTACAGGTGATTTATCTAGGCTGTACTAAATTTTGTAATTGTTAAACAGTTTATAGTTCATGCAAGAGTTTTATTGTGAAATTTCTTTTTATCTTCTATTATTGTTCTCATATTTATACAATTGTCATAGAAGCAAATTTTTTTTGCACTTTTTGACGAAATCTGATGATTCCTTATTGAAGATAAGTCTAGATAATAGCAGCTGAACTTCTATAATATGGCTTTGCTGTTGAATCATTCAATTGGAAGTTGGAAACGGGATACCATTTGACTTGTAAATTACATATCACATATTAAACCTGGGTTCTGATAAGTTGGGTGCTGTCATTCATGGCCATTAAAACTGTATTTTGATCTTCTTAAAAACTTTCCTCTAATCATCTCAGTAATGTTGAAATGTATAATTGTCAAGAGTTAATTTGACTATTTAATTTGTGGTTGCCCATACCATCTCAGATTTCTAGCTTAATTTTTCTTTCACAATTGGATCTATCATGATGTGTTTTTCTTTTTCACTGCTTTCCCCATTTTCTCTCATTGACTTGTAATCATGTTACAAGTCAGTTGATGTAATGAACTCCAGCAATGTGTAATGAATGATGACAAGATATGCTTCTATTATTTAGAAAACTAAACAATTTCATTTTGTTAACATAAAAATTACCGAAACGTATCTGTTGCTTAGGAAACCAAAACAAAAGATTAGTGGAAAAGCAAAAGTCTATAATGTTTCCACATTTTTTTTTTATTATAATCATAGTTAAAAGATGCAAAAATATTAGTAAAAAAAAAAAAAAAAGCATGTTTAAAGTAAAAAATAATTCAAATTAGTAACCTATATATTCTTGATGAATAACACTTCGAAAATGGAATGTCCAAAAGTCTCCACCAACAAAGTTAAACTAAAACAAGTAATATCTAGGTTTATTTTATTTGTATCTTAAATAAAGGCACAAATTATTCATTTATTTATTTTAAAATGAAAGTTATATTGAGAATGAATTACCCAGCAACCTTACAATCTTAAGATGCAAAATTTACCACCAAATCTTGTAGTTTTGTAAGTTAGAACAGTATATCTAAGTTAGAAGAGGAGTTTTAGAGGGCTTGGGTTTCTAAAAGAAATTAAAAAACCAAAAGAAAGTAAAATAAAGACTCTTAAAAGTTCACATGTTTGAACTACTGCTATGGAGCACTAATGGCAGTTACACTCATGAACTTTTGTCTTGCCGCTATAGCGGCTGTAATAGGATCGGAACCCTTTGAAGCCTATGTTGTAATGGAGTAGAGCGTCCGATTACCCTGATTAGGAATACCTAACAAGAACTATTTCTATTTTTATTTTTATTTTTTTTTTGTCAAATAGAAAATGTACAAGAGTAAAGAAAATTCTTGATTTTATTAGAAAATCTGAAAAAGAAGAAGGAAAAAGATGAGAGATAGAGAGATAAAGAAAACATGGAAATGGTTAAGGTAACTTTACGTCTTTGTTATTATAAATGGTTGGATAACATACTTTATGTATTTGTTATTATAAATACCTTTTTTGTAAATACTATCACCATTATTTTCTTTTTTTCCATCACAGTACTATTAAAATCTATCATTTCTTATGTTTTATTTTAAAATGGTAAACTCATTCTCCAATTAATCCTTAATATTGTTTTTTGTTTTGTTTTTGAGCTTCTAGCATTGATTGACATTTGTTGAACCTTTTTGATTGATATTTGTTGGGCTTTCCTATTAGAACAAAAATTCCAAAAATCAATAACATCTTAACACAAAAGTAGGTATCACCATTCCATCTCTGGAAATCAAAATAATCTACACCATAAAGACAAAACCATGGGTCAATGTAAAACTAAATGATCAATACTCTCTTTCTCCTTGCACATAACACCGCCACGGACATAGATAACAATTAGACATCCTTATATGAAGTATGTCGTTAGTATTGAGTTTCATATATCTGCACTCAAAATCATATTACGAGGTTCAAACAATAGTACATTTGGATTATCAATAATCTTATCAAAGAAATATTTGCAAGAAAATTCCCCAGATGAATGAGCAGTTTGAATTCTTTTATCAATAGTGTCTTGTCTTAAAAACGCTTTATCAATAATAGACAACAAGGAAAAGAATTCAAAACCTTCACGATCATTCAAGTTTCTAAAAAAAAATTGTAATTTCAGTTGATGGGGAAAGTACAAGAAGATACCATAGAAGAAATGTAGACATTATATGAGATTCGAAAGACGATACAATCAAGAAAATAATTGATCAAAACGAACAAACCCAGAGAATCAAGATACATCTTGAGAATTAAATTTGTATGGAGATTGGGAATTCCCTGAATTAACCACTTCCCATACTTACTTTTAATGACAATATGCTATAAAGAATTGTAATCGACCAGAAACCTCCATAATAATTTACTAAGCAAAGCAATATTATTCTCTACAATATACCCCAAAGCAAGACCCCTTGTTCTTAATAAGAGAAACCACAAGGCAATTAATCAAATGATATTTTTTTCCCCTCACCACTAGCCTGCCACAAAAAAAGAAAAAAAAATCTTGTCATTTATTAATCTTATTTGCCACACCCATCGGACTCTCAATGACGACAAATAGTAATTAGGAATACTTAGACAAAAACAGAATGATCCAAAGTAAGCCTACTCCATTGAAAATTAAGGCCCTTTTCTATCCATCTAGCGCATTACCAATTTTTTCAATCATTAGGTTACAAAAATATTTAGACCCAGGATTACCTCCATAAGGAAGCCCTAGATAAACAACCCAAAAGATCTGCCAAACTTTGTGACCTATTCAGTAAATGAGAATATTATTAATACAAACAATGGAACTTCTATTCATATTTACCTTCGACCCAAAAGCCACCTAAAAAATTCTCAATAGGGAATGAAGACTAGCCATTTTAGTTTCCTTGGCAGAAGAAAAAAAAAGGTATCATCTGCAAATTGTAGATGAGACACTGAAACATAATCCCTATTGTCGTGATCTCTGTTTTTTTCAAATTGGTTGATATGATATAATTCATCAAGGTTTTGACTCAAATAGGTATGATAAATCGTGGAACTGGACCAAACCGAGAATCGCAGCGAATTGATGAATTGAGCAACACATAACAAAACTTGAGCATAAAAACTGTCTACTGTTGCTGTTGTCACAAGCAGTTTTTGCAGATTATTAAATATGGAGGCATTTTGGTTTTGCCTCGCTGCAATTAAAAAAAAAAAAAAAAACTTGAGGATTTATTTGAACATGCATATCTGTATAATAGCTTTGTTTGATTTTATGATACCATGCAGACATCTTGTTAGGCTGTTGATTAAAAGTAATTTTTCCCTTTTCTGCAGGAAGGTATTGACCAACCTGCTTCCTTAGCAGGTCATATCTCACGCCCTACAAGTTGTAATTCATTTGGTGATACTGTGGATACAACAGGCATCTCTAGTCATCATTTAGCAGAATTATGTAATGGTATGGAATCCACAGAAGCAGCCTTGCATCCTGGGGCAACTAATACTGGCCTGCCTAGAGTTCAGAGCCTAGGTTCTGGAGTTTCTCATTTTTTTGCATCTGCGGTGGCTGCACCTCTGCCAAGGAGTAGAACCCCTGAACCTCAGGTGATTGGAAGGTCTTCAAGTCCTGGTCTTCCTCCTGTGGGTAACAGAGGTTTCCCAGTCGAAAAGAAGAATATTATTGGCTCAAATGCCATGAATGGTCTTTCTTCTAACATGAATGAGCTTGCTGATATTGCAGCTTCTTTAACTGGCCTTAACCTGTCAAAAAATCAACTTATTTATGAAGATAGTCGTGTGCAATCTCAACTCCGAATGGGATTTGATAAACCTAATCAACTGCTGGATATGTCAAATGGTCACAAGCAGAATCTGCATCAGCCATTTATTGACAAGTTTCCTACCAGCTATGTTGATTTAACAAGGAAAAATGGAATTGTAACAAACCAAAATGTTTCCAAGTTAGGTTTTGATGGGCAGACAAACTTTCCCCAACCATCTTACTTGAAAATGAATCCTCCACGGTTTACAAGTTTAGAAGGATCTAACATCCATTATCAAAATGATAATTTTTCCTGTATGGACTTTTTTGGCCACATGCCAAGTGGGTGTTCCGTTAGCAAGAAGCCAAATACAACAATTGGTACAGGTTATTTTTTATTCTCGATGCCATTTATGCAACTTTTCTTTCACTAGAGTACCTTGGCTGGATTTTGTCATTTACATATTGTTTTATTTTTAGGTTCAATTTTGAGTGGTGGTGGAAATGGACAAAATTCGAGTAGAAGTAGCAGTCAAGCCGGGTCTGACCTTCATTTGCCACATCTGGATCCAAGTTATATCCAGTGCTTGCAGAAAAGTTCTGATTATGCAATGCATGCTGCAGTTTCCTCTGATGATTCTTCTCAAGGAAGGAATTATTTTGGCACTTCACATGCTCATGGAGAGTTGCAAGGGTTAAAGAAAGCTTATTTTGAGGCACTGCTGGCTGAACAGAAAAACCAGTATGAGACTGCATTTCTTCGTAAATCTGGCGGTTTGAATCATGGATGTCATGTGAATCCAGCTTTGGATCTCAGCATGCCATATCACGGAAACACAACAGCCAAGCCTGTACTTCCATCTGGTGGATATGCGGGTCCTACGTTTCAGAATGAACGGATCTCACGATTTAATTCTATGTTGAGAAGTTCATTGGGAGGTTCTAGTGGGCCATGGCATCCAAATGTTGGAACTAACATGGAAGGTGTACTTGCATCTTCTTTATTAGAAGAGCTCAAGAACAACAAGACCAGGTCTTATGAACTTTCGGATATCATTGATAATGTAGTTGAATTCAGGTGCGCAGTAGATGTTTTGGTTGTCTTTATTTGACTCCTGCTGCTTCAGCTTGTTTTATGAGTTCCTTGTCTCTTGTTTTTATAATGCAGTACGGATCAGTATGGGAGTCGCTTCATTCAACAGAAGCTAGAAACTGCTACAGTGGAAGAAAAGACAAAGATATTCCCAGAGATTATCCCCCATGCTCGTGCTTTGATGACTGATGTCTTTGGGAATTATGTCATACAGAAAGTATATAGTTTTTCATCAAATGAACTCAATAAATCTTATATAATTCTGAATTTATCATCTAATAGGCTAATAGTTGTACTTGGATATGTAGTTTTTTGAGCATGGCACGGAGAGTCAAACGAAGGAGTTAGCCAACGAGCTTACTGGTCATGTATTGCCTCTGAGTCTTCAGATGTATGGTTGCAGAGTAATTCAGAAGGTGCATTCTTTAAGCTTTCTCTTATTTGTTCTGCTTTCACTGCACAACATCTCTCTTGAGTTTAAATGTGCACTATTTTGATACAAGTGTTTTACTTTTCTTAACCTCTGTTATTAGTTGTTCAAGATATACGAATTATAAGCTTAAGATCTAGTCCATACTTACATGTTAAGCCAAGTCGAAATTTGGCCTCCTCCCACTCTTGCCTCAAATGCCATACAACCCTTTCTTATTACCAAACACTTCCATCAAGTTTGGTGATCTTCTCTTCGTTGGTTGTGGTGTTGGGAACCTGGCTTCTCTTTGGCAAAAAGATTTGTAAGGAAAGCATAAGGAGTACCCTTATCACAAGAAGAAATTTGATTGGCATCATCTTATGCTGATAGGCAATGTGAAGTATTTCTCTATAATTTATTGACAGTCAATGTAGATCCTACTAGATTTATCATGTCTTATGCGACTCTTGTCTATGTTAGATGATGGAATGATGAATATCCATTCCTTAAGAGAGCATTTTCTTTTTCCTTTTCCTATTATAGATTGTGTCCATGTTGTAACTCTGCCAACAGGCCTTGGAAGTGGTTGATGTGGAACAACAAACACAGATGGTAGCAGAGCTCGATGGTTTCGTCATGAAATGTGTCCGTGATCAGAATGGTAATCATGTTATCCAAAAGTGCATAGAATGTGTCCCTCAAGATCGAATTCAATTTATTATCTCAGCCTTCTTTGGCCAAGTTGTGGCACTCTCCACACATCCTTATGGTTGTCGTGTCATTCAGGTTAGAAATTTGCAGTTGTGTGCTTAATTTGGTTGGTTTTCTATATCATCTATCATGTAATGTCATTTGATGTCAGCAGAGGGTTCTGGAGCACTGTGATGATCCAAAGACACAGCAAACTATCATGGATGAAATTATGCATTCTGTTTGTACTCTGGCACAAGATCAATATGGGAATTACGTTATTCAGGTATTTTTGAAATTTACTTCTGCATGTGTGTTATATGTATCATTGACTGGCAGTGAGATCCCACTTTCTGTCTAGGGATTATGTTGTGGAGTCTAGGTGTTCCTTGGTTATTACCTTGTAAGATTGATTCTTCTCTCCTAAATTGATGGTTCGCTGCATGAGACACGGAATCTCCATTTACTTCTCACAATCAAATTGCTTAATACACATGGCTCTAGATGTAGCTATGGGCAAAAAAGAATGTGTAGTTTGCCCCATGTATTTGGGATCTATGGTTGTGTTTAAGCTGGGCATTATTCTAACTTTCTTCTAATGTGACATCAAACTGGCTTAATTTCTATTATGAGGAAGACAAAAAATGAGAGGAAGTGAAAGCTTTTGCTGATTTCTATGTTATCTTTCATTCTTGAATGTGATTTTTTTTTTTTTGTATGATGAGTCTACTTTAATTCATACAGCAATCTTGCTTTATCAATCAGAGTATATAGCAATTATTTTGTCCACTGATGTTCTTATTTTTTGCTTGGTTATAGCATCTCCTGCAACATGGTAAACCACATGAACGATCTACTATTATTAGCAAGCTAGCTGGACAAATAGTGAAGATGAGTCAGCAGAAGTTTGCCTCTAATGTTGTTGAGAAGTGTTTAACTTTTGGTGGTCCTGAAGAGCAGAGCGTCAACTTTTGGTGAATGAGATGCTCGGTTCCACGGATGAAAATGAGCCCTTGCAGGTTTTTGTCAATCTCATGTCTCCCAAATTCTGAAGTAGAATATTTCATGATACGAACAATCATAGTCTTCTATGTTGTTTTTCTTTAAATCAGACACTTGAATTCTCTAATTTTTAACAATGATTGAAGAAGCAGCAGCATCTTACGTTTGATAATAAAGAACAATTTTGCACCTCTCACATGGATGGGGGATAAAATCTCTCGCTTTCTCCCCCAAAAAATCCCATTTAATGTCAAGTAATAACTAAATGATAATAAATCTTCTTATATCAAAATATTGTAGAAACAATATATTTAAATGTTTATAACGTGTCCATGTAATTTTTGGATACATGTTCCTGTAACCTAAAATTAACATTTAGGGAGGTCAAATACAACCAATACTTGTACCCAAGTCCATGTAGCATAGTTGCTCAGAACACTGTAAAAGAGCTCAAATGAATAGTATGAAGTTCAGCACGAGCATTTCTTCATTGTCTTACGTATGCTGAATCTGCTAGCACTTTCTGTTAAATCATTTTTTTTTTCTCACCTACAACTAATATGTGTGAATAACTGGAAGTGTGAAAATGCAAATGCAGGCGATGATGAAAGATCCTTTTGGAAACTATGTTGTGCAGAAGGTTCTTGAGACCTGTAATGATCAGAGCCGTGAATTAATTCTCTCGCGCATCAAGGTCCACTTGAATGCACTGAAGAGGTTCACTTATGGCAAACATATTGTTTCGCGAGTCGAAAAGCTTATCACAGCTGGAGGTAAGGAATTATTTTTTATACACTTATCATTACTCGACGTCAAGTTTACTAAATGTTGAAACTATTTCTCATGACATGTAAAACTATACTTGCAGAGCGGCACAGTGGGTTAACATCTGCGTACTCTTCCTCTTGAAGTATATCCCAATTTGGAAAAGACGACATATTTTGTACAGCTAACATGGATAATGACCTAAATTAATCAATCTTGAGTTATATTATTTTCTACATGGAGCTTCTAGTAGCTGTAAATAAACAGAGAGTTCAGTTAACCTGCTGAAATAAGATTTGCTTGTCTATTCTCTCTAGGTATATTCAGATTGCAATTTGTAATTTGGGAATACGTGTATGAGGTTTGGAAAGAAGAGTATAAATGGTCAATTGCCGCAGTGAAGAGATGTTAAAGTGTATGATGTTGAGAACATAGTTTATATGTAAATATTACTGCAATTTTCTGCAGCAGCTACATTTTTACTGGCCTTCGTAGCTGGTTTTACTATATTTTGTTTATTTTCAGGTCAATTGCCAGTTAACTAACCTTGTTCAATTTGAAATTTTTTTCACCCTTTTAATGACATATTGGAATGTTCATATTGGTTAGATGCACTGTATCCATTTTTTCTCATTCCCTTACTTGCTCTTCTTTAATTTTTCAATTAATACATTCACTGAAAGGAAAGATAAATAAAGTCAAGTTAGGTGGTGGATTGTTCGCTCATCATGCTGGAACTGCTTTGCGGTTTTATTTATTATTTTTATTTTGGTAAATTACACTTTTTATCGACGGATTAATCAATGAAAAATGTACTTCCAACCCCCTTTGATCTGAAGTGAAGTGCAAAACACAAGGAGCTTGTTGGTCACAAGCTGTTAACTCGCTAGAATCTATCTATTTTGCACTTCACTCCAAATCACATTAGGACGAGTACATTTCTAAATTACAATAAGGACTAAAATGTTTTCAAACTAAATCACAAAAACGTAGAAGTATAATTAATCTTTCTGTTTTTGTTACTCGCTCTGAGCTTGCATTGCTAAAGAGCCAGTTCATTTTATATAAACCTTGCACCACTGGATAAACTGTCAAACCGTGATATACGAAACAAAGAATTAAGAGTCACAAAATGCTTATTCAAACTGTACAAAATGCAGTCACCTTCAGAATGAAATGGTACAGAAATATAATCCGAGACAGACAGAACTGAAACAGAAGAAGAAAGACGCTAGATAGCAATTTATTATTATATAAATAAAAATAGCAGCAGCAGCAATGACCAAAGAAAAACAAAACCTCCAGCGAAAGCTAGAAATAAATCAATGAATGAATAAATAAGAAGAAAATAGCTTCAAAAAAAGGATTAGGAGCAAGCCAATAGTCATGAAAATTATTATGTACAAGGAAAGAAAACGCATATTAACAGCAGGCAGCAGCAACAGCAGCCAATTTCTCATCAATGAAGTTGAAAACCAATGGATGGGAATGGTGTACCCACCAACCAAGGAAATCCCACTAAGAGGAGCCGGAAAGTGGTAAAAGGTCAGCAAACTGAAGCTTCTGCCCGCGACAAAAGAGTTGAGTGTGAAATTTGCTGCGAACCCCATGAGCATTGTCCGTGGTTACTAACTTCAAAGCATCCACCACTTCTTCTTTTTCTTCATCTCTAATGCAGGAAGATCTAAGAATAAAGTAACGTGTCAAGAAGAAGAAAAATGTCAGAACTGTAAAAACTAAGCAACAGATACTAACTAAATCCAGGAGAGGAACAAAATTCTATTGTGAAAGCAAGAGGAACATGTTACATGGTGAAGCCAGACAAACTCTAAAAACAAAGCAAGCAATTTGATTGAGTTTTCAGAACTTGTTTTCTGATTCTGATTTTTATTTTTAGTTTTTTGAAAAAATTAAAATCTAGTTTGATAAAAATAGACACCAAAAAAGATATCAAAAATTGAATGTATGATTAGAACTAAATGGCTACAGAATTAATCACCAACCGAAATATGTGGCTTAATACTCTAATGTTTGTTTGGACGGACTGGATTAGCATTCCCATGACTAATAGTCCTATGACTACCAATCCGTTGCATTATGTATCCTATCTTAACTAATAGTCAAGTTTAAAATAATTAGTCCGTACTTCAATTGTTTAACCAAACATCGGATTAATAATTTTATTGGACTATTAGTCCAATCCCAAGCTCATGTCCATAAGGAATAAATTAAGCGGGGAAGAAGATAACTGACATTCATGCTCATACACAAAAATTGTTATTGATGTGTACATTGTAAGAAATGAGTTTACAACTATATCATTCTTCGTTTCCCACAACATCTAGTGTCAGTTGTGGTATCAAAAGTTGACATATGCTTACCTCCTTCTGGATAAATGGAGTTATAATGTACTTCTGCCCAGAAGCTCAAACATATAACTGCACAAGACAAATCATGAAGCTTTAATGCCATCATCTCGACAATGATAAAACAATGTAACCAAGGATTAGCTAAAAAAAACACTTTAAATTTATCCCTCTTACAGTTAGAAATGCAACCAATTGTCAAAGTTGGTAATAAAAAACAGAACTAAATGATATACAATTCTAAGATAATAATAACATGAAACAACTTGAACATGAAGTACAAAATAGATCAAATGAAGCAAGTGGAACAGAAATGGTCAGAGTGAATCATAAAAGCTTGTGAGCTGCTAAGCATGAGAATGCAGGTTGGAGTTTGAGAGCAGCCAGTTTGTGTAAATTTGTCTCCAATCTTACCTCTACCTCCCAACACCCTCAGTTTATGGGGAACAACACTGGCAATGTAATTTTGCGATATGATTTGTGTTTACAACCTTTCACCTCATCAATCCAATTTGAATTTTACAGACTGGAAACAAAATTACCCAACAATGCTTAGAAGCCCTTTTAAGTTATTGAATTTTTCTCAAAAGATTCAGAAACTTCTCCCTAAATAACTCCTCCCAAGGAATCATTAAAACCTCAAAAGAGCTCAATTCCAAACAATCCATTCATTCTTGAATACAATATACAACTAGTGAAATTCTTTTAGACCATAAAAACATATCATCAGCTAAAGTTCCTGATAAAACCAACATGACAAGTTTATGATTGAAAAGGCATCAAAAGCAAGTTGAATTCTCTAAAGAAGACTCATTTAACCTATAAAAATATTTTCATCAGTTTATTTCCTTGATGGGTGAATTAAAAACAGATTTTTTTATTGTTTCCAAACTTAGACACAATCATAAAAACAGGTGACAATGGTATATGAACAGAGAAACATCGTTATTCTCTCAATGCTTCTACCATTAGGTTGTTCCCCTGAGGTAACACTGCAGACACCCTTTCCTGTGTGTCCATTTTACTTTGATGCACTTCATTCCATTTGACGCTAGGGTGCATCATTCTGCATGTTCTTTGTTTTATTTCTGCTGATCACTACCATTTAGGATCTTAATATGGATAACGTGTTCTCAACAAAACTTTATTTTATTTTATTTTATTTTATATATCATTTGTAGGGATATCATATAAACTTGTGAAACATTATTCTGGGTTTTTTCCTGTTTTGTGTTTATTTGACCATGTTTGTGTGTGTTGTGTTGATCACAACAATATATGATAAAATCAGCGTGATCCAGTTATCCGTAATGACTTTCCCACTGTATTAGTGGCACAGAACAACTATTGGAGAGATCAATTGTGCATCAACTTTCAGAACAAAAAATTGAGATGCCATCACTTACTTCTTTTCGACTTTTGAGTGTGTGGAAGAATCTCAATGTAACAAGTATCCTTAAATGACGTTATGATAAATATCTTAACACCATACTGCAATAAAAGTATATCCAAGGATTAGTCATGGATGGGATAAGTACTATATAGCACTATTAACTTGAAATCATTCATTAAAAAACAGAGCCAGAAAAGAAAGTCAAAACTGTTCATTTAAAATACAAATATGTTAGGCCCTTAAAAAATAATAAACAATGTACAAATTTCAAAGATAACTCTACTCTGAATCTGCAAGAGTTCAAAACAAAAAGGAGCCCAAACTAATATCCCATTAATGAGTGTGCTTTAGTTTAACCATCAAGCAAGAAATGCCTTCAAACAGTTACAACTCAATCAATCCAATAAAGCTGAATGAAACCCAAACACAGGAAATTTAATGTTTTATCGATAATACAGCCTGGGGAAAGCCTATGGTGTGCACCCCCTTGGGGGGTGCATACCATATGCACACAAATTGGCATAACTTTATCACAAAATTTTGTAACATCAACCACAAAATGCGTAACCTCACCACAAATTAGCGTAGCAAAATGTCCAAAATTTTGTGATTCATGTTAGAAAAGTTTGTGGCTTGGTTACGAATTTTTTTGTTACAACAATTTGTGGTGAGATTACGCCTTTTGTGGTTGATGTTACGAAATTTTGTGGTAAAATTAGCCAATTTGTGGTATGGTGTATATGTGTGTGATAATAGAAAGAACCACTATACAATCTAATCTATTTAATAATAATCACCCTATGTTTCAGGCAATTATTTTAGCATGACAACATACCTAAAACCAATTAATTTTCTAGCATAAGAAAATTATGTTAAATAAACTTGTTTACAGGTGTGGGCTACAGCAATACAAGGGTAGGTCTAACCTTTAAATCCTCCTAAACTCCAACAACAACAAAAAAAGAATAGGGGGGCACTGATAAGATTGCCAGAGTTGTAAAATGAGTGCAGGTACTGATACAAGAAAAGAAAAAATATGTTCAGAGGAAAGGTGAAGGCGCAAAACTTTCCAATAACTTCAGGAATTGCAAAAAGAAAAAAGAAAGCAGTTATATTGTTTCACTAAAATTGTAGAATTTTGTAGAAACATCAACGTGTAAGGTAGTTTTTAAGGAAACCTCAACTTTTATCTCCTCCCCTGGAGACCTCCACCTTTAGCGAGCTACTCTCTAGGCACAAGGTTCGGCAGCCCAAGGGGCTATTACATATTACATGATGATTTCAGAGGGTTCCAAAGCCATTATAGGCTACTATAGTGGCCAAGATGAAATCCGTACCCGTAATGGCTCATTAAAGTGTTGTAATGGCTGGATCAGTGTCATAGCAGCCCATTGTGGTGCCATATGGGATGCTCATCATCATATGAGTCTTTTTAATAATTTTCAATTTTTTTTCAGTTATTTTAAACTCCAAACTCTCCAAAACTCCCCTTCTACTTAGATTTATCTAAATGAACTGCATTCTACAAGTTTTATGAATAAACCTTGTATCTTTAAAATTTTAAAAAAAAAAATGAAAAGTTGTTCCATTTTGTTATCAATTCAAGTTAAATTTTAATTATTATTTTTTAATTCTTTCATTTGATACAAGCTAGAGTTGTCAGAACTAACCTTAGACCTATTACTTGATTCAGGATCCAGCTTTGCTTTATTGGGTATTTAAATTTCAAAGTAATGTTTGTGAGGCCTTTGTTTGTAATCCCACTTAACACACACCATTCCTTTATCTTAACACCTTTTAATTTTAAGCACCTCTCCCCAGTCATAGAAATAGAATGATAAGTATCCGTCCAAGTTTGTCTACTTAAGCTTAATTGTTGGCATAAATACAAAATGCAATTTGATTGAAATAAGAACCTTTGGGCTAAAGAAAAATCACTTCAAAGCTTTCAACCAAGGCCAACATCAATATGAGCAAAATATTTTGCAGTCTCAACCACCCATTATTGTAGGAAAACCTTCTTTCTCTTGATTAGGACTCAGTCCCACAACACCCATCTGTTTTGTAGACCCACAATACAGACACATGCCTTGACCACCATGCTTCCAGTATGAGGCTCAACACAATATGTGAACCTATATTTATCTCCACCTCACAAAACTACTAAATTCTTTTAGAAAAGAAATATGAAGCAACTTCACAAGCAAATTCTTGAATAAGGTTGAGGTCAAGATCAAACTGTGATGTGACCAAATTTCAAATTGTTTGAATTTAAGTTAATTACAGATGATCGTAGCATCATAAGATCAATCGGTTCTTGCTTGAGCAGCAGTTCAATAAACCCATAACTTCATACAAGATATGAAATAATTCACATAGAGGGAAAATTATGAACAGTTAATGTTAAAATTTACCATCACCTACCACCAATTTACCATCACCTACCACCACCTACTCCTCACCTACTACACTCACCCACCATTTGTAATATATACAACAACATATCAATCAATAATACATACATTTTAACATGGTATCAGAGCCTTAAGATTTAGGCCTATACTCCTTTCTTTCCGGCGGGCAGCCGGCCGACAACGTTGCCTTCGCTGCCCGCTGGAATTTTTCTACACATACCCATCTCAGTCTCATCAGTGGAAGAATTCATCAAGAGCTACTACTACCTCACAAGTTCCATCTTCGTTAGCCTCATCAACCACATCATCTTTGAAAAACCTTACCCAACAGCAGCAGCAGGCTAGAACCCAGCAAAGTCACACTCAGATATCTTTCGGGGCTAGCCAAAAATCATCATCGACAGTTCCACAAGGACAGCAACAAGGTCCGAATAGCCATAGCCATAGCCATCAGTCCTCTGCATCTCCTCCAATGGTGGTTGGGTCTCCCACAACTTCCATCTCCAAGGGTGGTGGTGCCAGTGGAAGCCCGAGGACATCGACCTCCACTTCACAACCTGGCAATAAACCCACCGCCCAACCTTCTTCATTGTCTTCTCAGCAGCCCAAGAACTCCACATCAGTGCCAAGCCGGAAATCATCTCCGGTTGATGTCAGAAGTGTTCCATCAATACTTGGCCACCCCCATATTACCTCTTCAAGCCCTGGAACAACGTCTCAAATACAACAACAGTTGCCCAAACAGATGGTGCAGCAACAACAGCTATTCTTCTCTGCTCCATACCTGCAAACTAAAGGCCCTCATTCCAGATCCGCTTGACTCGATGCTTCCTCGTCTCGCCGGCCTCCTCCGATTTTAACAACTCCGGTGAGGTTGGGAGCAGAGAGGCCTCCGGTTCCGGCGGCGGTCTATCTCAGCTGTGTACGAGACAGTCACTGGTCTTGGACCCAGAACAATGCAAACAAAATACCAAAAACAAACAAAGACCCAGATCCGAATCAGGCTGTTCTCTCTCTCCTTTCTTCACTTTTCCAACCCATGCACCTTTCTTTTATTATTATTATTATTATTTTTTTTCACCACCTTTAGTTGCTGCTTTATCGATTAATTAAATTATTGGATCCATGTCATTCTTACATCTGACAGTATTATCATACGCCACACCCACTCCATTTCTTTATGTTTTTCTTTTATTTCCTTCTTTCCACCCACTCTTGTTCCCCACTCATAGTTTTTTATATTTATTTTATTCCCTCTTTTGACAAGGACACGAACCACACACTGTTTTGCACACCCATCACCTTCTTTCCCTTATTTTATTTTTTATTACTTTAAGTGTCTTCACCAATGGTCTGACACGACCATACAGTGTCTCCTATCCTTTTTTATTTTTATGTATTTTCTTGTTATGTTACTCTCTCCAAACTCAAGTTGGTTAGTTTCTATCCTCCTTGAGTTTGCGGGGGACTGTTAAAATTTACCATCACCTACCACCAATTTACCATCACCTACCACCACCTACTCCTCACCTACTCCTCACCTACTACACTCACCCACCATTTGTAATATATACAACAACATATCAATCAATAATACATACATTTTAACAGTTAATGAAGGATAAAATGAAAGCAAAGTGCAAAGATATGAATTTGTGAACAACAGTTGAAGCCATGGTCACCAAATAGCTAGATAATGCTAACATGCACATGAGAGAGAAAGAGTTGTTAATACCGCATCTGCAGCAGCCTGCAATGTGACATGATCACCCCACTCACCTGTCCTACAATGATTTACATCAAAAAATATTAATGAGCATGACCAGGTTTTATGAAAAGCATAGATGCCAAAAAATTCAAGTGAAGAATGCTGCCATACTTGCTAATATGCTTCAAATAGTCATTGTAAGCCATTGGAACATAACCCTCATATAATTCTGGGTGCGATTTGAGCTGATTACATTGTTGCATTGCAAAGATAAACATCAAAACTTTAGGTCCAGTGGAACACTATGCAATGGCATCAAGAAAATAAATCAATATACCAACCTGACCAACAACTTGTTCTCTTACAAATTTGTGGTGTTCAGTAGTACGGTAGATTTGATCTGACAAAGCACGGAACTGAGAAAATAAGAAAGTGGTGAGATCATAATAGAAAGAACCACTAAAATATAAGTAGGGTCTTCTCACATTACACATAACTAAATCTACCACTAGCTGTTGACCAGGGGGTGAGGAGGGAGCACAGAAAACCTCTAAAAAATCAATCACATAAGTAACAGTAATCAGCATGATTTGCATGCCAAAACTCCTAGCACAATCAGCTAATACTTAAGACAAAATCTACTTAGAAAAGGTGCAGCATTCTAAATCGAAACCCGACTATGACTGATTGGTAAGTGCTAACACAGTGGAAGCTAATTTTGCTGTTAGTGTAAAACTTTACTTTTAGTATCAATTCTAAAATTTTAACTAATTAAATTTTTAGCACCAAGAATTCAGCACCTAAATTTTTTCAATACTGAGATCAAGCCTAACCTCATCTCTTTTGATCCAGAAAGCCTAAAAGCTTTCTTCTACCATCTGAACCCAAGCAACTTTCCATAGCCAAAACCCACTCGTAGGCGGCCTTAGTCCAAGTTTTCTAAAGTTGTCCTACATCATATTCGAATTTTAAAGATTTCTCTATAACCACAAACTCAATGGAATAAATCAGATGAGCAAATTTTTCCTACATACAAAGAAATGCAAATGATTCTTTTTTCAAGCGCGACTGTAATGCAATTACTAGAGCATATTATCAAGCAGCATACATAAAATAAAAATATAATACAAGTTATCATAGTCCACTAAATGTATTTTCATACATTTTCAACTCACGACAATATTTATATTATAACACTATCATCTCTCACAACAACAAAGCACAAGTACACAGATTATTGACAACAATAATCTATAACGGAAAATTCTAACCAGAAAAAAAAAATGAATGCACTGTTAAGAAGGATAAGAACTAACCTGACAGTTACCATCTCCTTGAACCTTTAGCTCAACCAACTCATACAAAAGCAATCTGAAAAAGATCAAATATTTTTGCTATTAAAAACTACTATACTAAAACCAATTTCATTTGCATTACATAAAAAGAAAAGACAAAGCGAAGACATTTAAAGACCAAGGAAGAGATGCAGAGGGCGAACAGGAATGTGATAAGCAATCTTTCTAGATATCATTTGTCAAGACATGTGCAAAAGTTGTCAGTGCCCAACAAATAAACAAGGTTGCCTTCTCTTTTTCCCCTATAGGAAAACAATAATATCAAGATAGGTGCCGACTGGAAAGACAGTGCAAGGTTTCTTCAAGAACAAAAGAGGTGAAGCCTCACAAAAGAAAGGTCAATTAAGTGCCAAAATCCACACAAAAACTTGCCACCAAACATAAAAAGTTAAAAACTGAACAAAAGCTCAAGGCAAATAAGCTCTCTCTGAGAGTTCCCATTGTGATGGTTCCCTTCACCATTAGTCGACTTTTTCTCCATGGAGTGACTCGCATAAAAAGAAAGATTGGTTATCTCATAAATCACATATCGATATATCTTCAAGAACTAAAACTCACAGATTTGGCCCAACTAGCATGGGTGGACCAATCACCTACACTAACTTCTTAAGTCATCCCAAGGAAGGAAGCTTAGACAAGGCCTCATCAACTCACTTCAACTTAACAAAATTATAGTCCCAACTACATGGAGCTACCAACATGAATTGTATTGTCCATATCCGGCCAGCTTTATACGGAGTCATATCCTACATTAGTGAAGCCAAATGTCTAGCTTAACCAGATTTGTTAGCAAAAACCAGAGCAGTAGAAATCCATATTCTGAAGGTGGTCTCCAAAGAAGTTTGAGTTTCAACTTTCCATGTCTAACAAGGAAAGCATCCATTAGAGTTCGATTTCTCTACACAAAAGCCCATTGAAAGACATAAAACTGAAGCCCAATTTTTAAAAATGAGAAGCAATGCAAAGCCAAGAAACCTCTTTGCTTGTTAAAGCTTGTACATTTTTTTTAACAAGTTCTGAAATACTTCAACTAGAACCGGCCTACGCAAGCAGGTGATGGGCTCAAAATTATAAGTTTCCTCATAAAGTACTCTTTCAGCTAGAGAAATAAACAATGATAAGCATAACTCTAATAAGATTAAATATTGAAGCTGGAGATCCAAGAATCAAGGAATTCCTGGCTTGGAAGCCCCCAGGCAAATAAAACAATAGAAAAAAAAATCCCCCAGTGAAATTTTTTTTTTGAAAAGACATACAAACAATAAACGCAGCAGCCATATACATAAAAATAAAACAAGTATAAAGAGAAAAACGTGACACAAAACCTTTCAAGCAATCTTTGATGATCTGTTGTTTCTTCATCAACTGAGGGTATTTCTCCGTTAATCTTAGGAACATGCTGCACAAAGACAGTAATAAATATGGAAATGTCACTTCCAATTCAGTTTAGATACTTAAAGGCTATAGCCTACAAAACCAAGTAAATGAGTCGACACAGACGCCAAGCATTGTTTGTTGCAATATAAACCAGCATCAAGACAAAAATCTTCTCAAAAGGAAAAAAAATTAATGCATGTTTGTGATGTAGTGTGTTTCCTATATTACACAAGTAATTGCCTAAAACAAAGATGAACATTTCTTGTCCTCAATTGGAAGAAAATTCCATACCAAGCAATTCTCCCACTCACATTAGGAAACTTGTTTGTTCTCTATAGTCAGGCGAGTGACCCATCATGACAAAATCTTATACAAACTTGAGGCTTGTTCAAGTTAGGAAGAAAGTTTAAACTATTTGTATATGAAACTATTAAAGACGGAAAACATAAAGCATTTAAACTGCAAAAATTTAGTGTAAAGTTTCAAGGATACAATAAAAATGTCCCTTTTCCCAATTTTTCTTATCTAAAATAGGGACCACTGCATGATGGAGTGGTAAAAGCACCGGCAATCAAGCCTGAAAACAAGTGTTTGAGCATGAGGCAGCCAATCATATTGAATAAAGCCCGACGTTTGTAGACCCAATTCATCGGTTGCAACACCAAGGATTAACAAACCAGCAGTTAAGTAATGGCCTCTTTAGCTGTTAATTGAGAGCTTTGTCCCCACCAGTAGACTGTTATAATTCTACACTTATTTTTCTCTGATCTTGTGATTTAAATATAATGAAATTATTGTAGTCAACACATGGCTATAGACGTGTGAAGGCACTAAATGCAGTCTTTTAACTAATCTACCAACAGAATATAGAAGAGTGTTATTAAAAACCGGGAAAAGACCAAGAAGAGAGGCATAAATAGACACTCAGGATAACCAGTTATTGCAACTTTCACATTATATATACAAGCAAATTGGGTGGAACTGGCTCGACCTAGACAATTTTTCAAAAAATTATTACATTTCTAATTTTCTAGAATACACTGTATTTATTAAACATATAAAAACTACATAAAGGCAAAAGCACAAGACATCCTTGTAAGATTTACTAGGACAACAAAAACATACATATTTCAAGAAAGGAAAGTTATCAAGCAGATTAAATGCATTTGATTCTTATTTCACTTTTTTCTATTGTTTCTTTTTATTCAATTTGTTAGAACACCCGTTGTCTCAAAAGCTTAAGCCTGTTAGAGATGGGTCTCACTTAAAAAAGCACTTGCTCTCCACCATAAGAAGGCTACAAAATTTATTTTTATTTTTTTGTTATTTTCCATTTAAAATAAAAGATAAAATTTTGAATTTTTGTTTAGTATTTGTATCTCAAAAATAAGAGAAGAAAGAAATAATCATGAATGGTTGATACTAATATTATAATGGTCAATAGCCAGTAAGGTTCAAAAGCAATATCTTTTGCTTGCTTTGTTGCCATCCATGTTAGAATATCAATTTTCAAGAAACTTAAACTATTGGCAAATAGGCCCCAACAACATACGAGCTTAATACACATTATTGGACCTATTTCCTAGCAACTTGAGCTTTCAGGTGAGTTGCTCATAAAAAAAATTAAGATGATATCAAAGTAAATGATGTTTCATTTGTCATTCCATAAAAGCAAGAAGAAAAAAAAAAGTTCTAGAGATAGAAAAAAATGTACATTGCATTGCCATAAAATATACACATACACAATGAAGAAATATGAAAAATATAACAAAAGAGAAATGCTAGAGACCCACAATTTAAGTCCCACAATTCACCCACAATGACATGGCAAGGGACATGGGCCTCACATGATTGAGTTTGTGACAAATCAAAAGTTGACACATAACATATCATGTCATTGTTTTGTAGGTATAATTGTGAGACTTAAATTGTGGGTCTCAATCTTTTTCCTTAAATAACTATGCTCTTACAACCAAAATAAGCATACAGGAACAGGAAGGCAGAACTAATCAAGAAACTGATGTGAAAATAGACTACCAGACTAGCAACAAACAAACTTCAAAATAAAGGAATCTTCCATTCAACTTTTAAGGCAAGAATATTACTCCAAAGTAGATACACTTACAGGAATAGGAACCATCTGATTCAACCTCTTTCCCACTTCACCATCAAGAGTAGACTCATCTGCTATCTCCGGTGAACATGACTGGTCCTCCAGACCAAGTGATTTTTCTTCTGTGCTAGAACATGAACTGTATTTCCCCCTTTCATCTGCATCTCTCTGATTGTTCCCATCCTCTACACATATTATAATATAATCAAAACAAATCAGAACAGAGAAGTTTTTCGGAAAAAAAAAAATACCAATTCAATTAATAAATCAAAGTGCAACAGCTGGTTTTTCTCAAATACCAAAACTGCAATGTCTCTTTGAAGGACCCCGCCAATCCTGAGCAAGAATGGATGCTTGCAAATGATCTTCCCCAGCTTGTGAAGATGCAGATGCTTCTACTGCTGCGAGTCGTGATAGTTCTTCTTGAAAAGCACGTGCAATTATCTCATCATTCTCTACTTCATTGTGCTTTGTCTCACAAAAACCTTCTTTGACATACTCAACTTGTGATAAATCCTTGTCATAATGAACTATACTACCAGGAGAACCATCAGTGGATACGCTGCAACCATCTAGAAGATGGAGACCCCAACGAACAACATCAGGGTCTTGCTCATACATAATCATCTGCCTTTATTATCTCCAACAAGACTCTGCAGCAATTTAATTTTAAATTTTCCCATAGCGGACTTTCATTATTAAATCTTTCAGACTGATTATTAAAAAAAAAAAAAGCAGTAAACTTTCTATCTGGACTATTCAGCTTTGATTTTATAAATTACCAGCAAATTTTGTTGAGCTTGTAATTCATTGCATTTTCCACATCAATATCACTTTCAATAACCAGAATACATAAGGTGATCACAAAATTGTAAACAAGTTACAAAAAAATACAGCATTTCTGCTATTTTTCTTTTATATGTCATGATTTGAGACGAAGTGACAACTTTATTGCCAGAGCCATACTCCCAAGTAGCACAGTGTATGAGATCAAGATCAAACAAATCATGCCATCACAAATTTTCTTCATATGAGATTTTTACTCCTCAGACCACCACAAACTCATACCACATTCTAATGGGCTAGGTATCTCTGACTAGTTAATCAAGCAGCCCATTTCTCTAAATTGACATAAGGACAGTTTCGATACTTAATATAGAAATATCATAGTTTAGCTCTTACCAAGAAACTCATTCTAGATACAACCATAAAACTTAAAACAAGGACAGATGTTTAAGAAAGGAAAAAAGCATACCAGAATCCAAAACACCTCAAAAAGTTAAGCCATCAATATATGGCAATTCAGTAAACTCAAATTCTGCAGAAAAAGAATTACCCAAGAGTTTGTGAATCAAAAGCTATGTAATGAAAAATGAGAGAAGCTATAAGACACACAATCAACCAGGGGGAAAATGTGATTTAGTGACTAAAACTGCTATCAGACAGATGGCAGAATAAAAAAGAAAATCAAAATCAGAAGATTGTCATCAAGGATTACGCTTCAGATCTGTCATCCAGGATTCCGCTTATGATCTATCTAAATAATAAAACTTGAGTTAAATCTGAAAGTCAGAAGACATTTTTTCATCCTTCAGACTACTTTTTCTAAAGCAGACCTATGAGCAAACCAAACCAAGCCTTAAGTCCCATCAAATGGGGTCGGCTACATGAATCATTCTTTTCCACTTGATTTTATCAACGGCCATCTAATTAGTCAAATTAACGAGATTCATATCTCTATTTACTAACCCACGTCAATCTAGGTCTGCCGCTTCCTCTAACACTTCCATCTACCGTCACTGTATCACATTTCTTCACTACTACTTCTATTGGTCTCCGCTGTTGTATATGATCAAACCATCTCAATCTATTCTCTCTCAACTTATCTTCTATCGGTGCTACTCCTACCCATTCACGAATATATTCATTCCTAATTATGTCTTTTACAGTTTTGCCACATATCCACCTTAACATCCTCATCTCAGCAATACTCATCTTATCTACATGTTGTTTCTTAGTTGTCCAACATTCTGTCCCATACAATATCACTAGTCTTATAACCATTCTATAGAACTTTCTTTTTAGTCTAGTGGGTACTCGTTTATCACAGAATACCCCAGACGCACTCCTCCACTTAAGCCTCCATGCCTTAATTCTATGGACTACATCCGCTCCAATCTTCCCAACCGTTGTGATGACTACATTCTATACATCACAAAGACACAGATTTTAACTCTTTTCCACCACATCAATAACAAATGTAATTCTCTCCTAAATTGTCCAATATGGAAAAGGAAATTATCCCTCAATTTGATTTCCAAGTACTGTAATAACTCTCAGACATACAAAACTCCAATGTACTGCAAATCTCCATCGAAGCCTATTTCATATTTCATATCTACCAAATGTAGCAGAAAAAAGGCTTCTGCATACCTTAAGCTGTAATTTGAATAACAGCTTAACTCCAAATTGCACACAACAATGAGGGTCTAAGACCGAACCTTTCCAATTCAATATCTACATTCAGAAAAAGTAGAGTAAATGAATTTTGTTCATTATTCTGTCTTGACATTCAATAAATACCTTTCCTGAATACACATACATCATGCCATATTAGCTAGCCACAAATTTTCAAACTTACTTTCTTTTTCAGATAAAAAAACACGACAACAACAAGACTTGATCTCTAAAGGTAACACTTGGCCTACAAGACAGGTTATTCGATGGGGCAAAAAAAATTCCATTTACATAAAACCTTCCCAGCCTATCCCAAATCCCAAAAATAAATAAATAAATAAAATAAAATAAAATAAAATAAAACAAAGAGAGAGAGAGAGAGAGAGAGAGAGAGAGAGAGAGAGAGAGAGAGAGAAGTTTAGAACAAACTTCAAACTACATACACATACTTAATCTTTGCCCTCATATACCCAATACCAACTATTTAAGATACATATTCCTTAATCCTTACATAAGGACGGAGAATAAGATTGAACTGTTCCATTACTGAAGTTCATCAAAATTGCCTCAAGGAAAGCAAGAATTTTTATGCAACAGTAACCATTTAAAAAATAATAAAAAAAACATTTGCCTAAGGACAAATTTTCTAATTGAATTGCCATATCCAAATTTTTTCTCCAGTAAAATTTTCTACATTTCTTTTTGTTGTTCTGGTATACCCAAATTGCAAGTCCTAAAATCATTCAAACCTAAATTTAACTATCACAACTCCTCAACCCAGAAACTCTCCAGATTAAATCCTTCACAAAATGCCAACATAATCATTCAAAAACAACTAATCATTCCAAACTTAAGCATCAAGAAATCTCAAACTCAAAAAAGTAAGAGAAAATCAAAATGCTCCAAAAGATCTCAGAACCCTAGCCCTAATGTGAAACCTCAAAAAACTCGTATCGTTTATTTCAACAAAGAATCCCAAAAATCAACATCAAAACATTAAGCATACAGTGTACCTACCTTCAATTCGAAAAAAAAAAAAAACACCTCTTATTGATCGAAGTTCGAATACAGATCTTCCAATTCGAAGAGAACGCAAAATCGAGAGAGAATTTAGCGAACGACCAAGAACGAAGTCACAGTTCCACACATGACCGCGCCAGAGGGTAAAGGTCTAGCAACTTTTTGAAATTTTAATCGTCACGGAAGCTTTTTTGGGGGCTCGACAATTTGGAGTGGGTGAGAATTGCCGTCTATTTAAGCGTGCTTTTTCGGAAATTCTGTTACGATGTGGAACCGACCTCAGAAGAGTGGATTATTTTGTGAGTCGTTGTGTTGTGTGTGTGGGGTCGGTTAGAGACATTCCCTTTTATTACGCGTGGAGATTTTCTTTCTGATTTTCCCGGGAAATTTTCTGACTCCCTTTCAATTTAACTAATCATTGTGATTTGGTAAATCTTGCCCCCAAAATTATGATTTGCCATTATTGTAATAAAATATATTTTAATTGATTTTCTTTTACTCCCTCCGTCCCAAAATATTGGTCCCTTTTGGAGAATCCAACTTTTTTTGGTAGTACACTTATTGCATTTGAAAAAAGTTGTTTTTCCAAAATTACCCTTTTGATAGTACATTTTTTGGGAATATCAATGTCATAATTGTACTTTTTAAATTGTTTATTAATTTAAAAGAAGGGCAAAATAGGAAATTTACATTATTTTTATACTTGATTTATAAAGAGGGACTAATATTTTGGGACAATGAAAAATGGAATAAGGGACTAATATTTTGGGACGGAGGGAGTATTATTATTATGAGTGGAATACTAAGGAACGAGTTGTTAAATTTTAAGATAAATGAATTATCAGATTTTTATTATTGTGAATTTTTATATAACCAAATTGATAAAATTAACAAATTGGATGATAATCGGATAAATAAATAAATTGAATGAAAAAAAAAAAAACCCTTGTGAATAGCTACAAGGTGCAAAAAGGAATTTTTTTTTTATTTTATAGATTGAAGTACAGAGATAGGAATTTTAGAGATTTTTTAATTTATTATAACCAAGAATGATACATCAATTTTGGGACAATGAAAAATGGAATAAGGGACTAATATTTTGGGACGGAGGGAGTATTATTATTATGAGTGGAATACTAAGGAACGAGTTGTTAAATTTTAAGATAAATGAATTATCAGATTTTTATTATTGTGAATTTTTATATAACCAAATTGATAAAATTAACAAATTGGATGATAATGGGATAAATAAATAAATTGAATAAAAAAAAAACCCTTGTGAATAGCTACAAGGTGCAAAAAGGAATTTTTATTTTATTTTATAGATTGAAGTACAGAGATAGGAATTTTAGAGATTTTTTAATTTATTATAACCAAGCTCTATCTCAAAATAATTTTCCAAAACATCTTTTAAAAAAAACCAAACCAAACATGTTTTCGTACTTTTTATCTCTAAAACACATCTCTCAAATACAAACCAAACATACCCATAATATTTTTTATTTACTCTGATTTACTATCAGAAAGTCCCCCGTACTTAGAGAAGCATAGTTAAAGCTTGGAATATTATTAGTGAGTCCACCAAATGAGCTACTGGAGATAGAGTAAAACCTCATTTTGGAATTACTTAGGCTTCGTTTGGGAAATGGGTTGGCTTTTTGACTTTTTAACTTTTTTGACTATTTTAGTCTGGGACTAAAAAACTTAATTTGGAAAAGGCTTTTGGTTTTTTTGGCTTTTTTGTGAGAGAAAAAATGTAATGATTATGGATTGGATGTGATGTTTTGCCTTATTGAACTAAAAAGCTTATTTTATTTTTTTTGTAATTATTTTAATCAAAAAAGTCTAAAAATTAACTTTCCAAACAACGCCTAAGTGATGTTACCTATCCTTTGTTATCACTTTTACTTGTCCCTCATATTTGATTATTTCCTCGTACAAGTCACATCAAGATTCACTCTATTTGTTTTTGATAGAAATTATTTTTTATATTTAATTATAAATCTTGAAATTTTAAAATATTTGAGAAAGGTATCCTAACATGTTCAAAATTCATTTAAATGCGTCACTCCCTTGACAGTTGGACTATATTAGATAATAAATTTTAATAAAAATTTAAAAAGAAAAAAAAAATTAGTAAAATATAGATGAAATGTAACCTAAATTAATAATCCAAACATAACCTTAGCCAACATCATATTAGCATTAAATAACTTCCCTAGATAGATTCAAACTTCAAATATCAGCGCATACAAATGAACTTCTCAATGATATAAGAGGGGCTTGGTTGTCCATAAATAGTTTTTATCTACAGCTGATTTAAAAAATAACAAGGTTTACATTTGAAAACAAAGTTGGTTGACAGCTTGTGCGCTTGTTGATAACATTTTTTTGATGCAACAAAGCTATTATCAAACAAGTGAAGTTTCTGCCCAAAAACAGAAACAAGTGAAGTTGTGTGCATACTAATTTCTCACCCTGATTTAACAGGCACAAATCTTCACACTTTCAACTACAAAACATTCAACAAAGTCCAAAACTCAAACCTTTTTGTGTTTGAAAAACACATAGTCTAAAAGATACTTTAAGTAATAATAAATAAATAAAAAATAGGATTATATTACTGTCTTTTCATGATCAGAGTATGTTTTTGCATTAGTTCATTGATAGCAGCATCACAACTACTGAATACAATGATTGTGTGTCATTCTAAACCTTCCATGAAGAAAAGAAGAGAGCATTTTTAAGGGAAACAACCTTGAAAGAGTAATCTATGTAGGAAATGGCCTTACCACCATAATTACAGTGTGGGTGGTGGAAGTCTTACATACATTTGAAAGCGAAAAAAACGCTACCGGGAGGTGAAAACACCATAAACAAAACAAACCTCTTCGATTGTAAAGCACCAAAAACAGATAGAGCACGTAATTCTGCATTACCCATTTGTTGATTTTATCTTTGTTCAACTACTCGTCACAAGCTTAGGCCTCCAAGTTCGCCATGCCAACCACCTGTTTTCTCCGATTATAGGATCCACAAATCTTCTCTTCAGGCCTTCTCCGAGAGTTTTGCCATTGGCTTCTTTTGGAGGAGTACTCTTTATAGGGGCTTCAGGGATTCCCATTTCTACTTCCTCCACAATCCGGTTCACCATCTCCAAGACTTCACTCATTTTGGGACGCAGTTTTGGGTGCCTCACCAAGCACCTGTTGGCTATCGCTGCGAGCTTTTGGGCGGACTTGCGCGAGTATCTCCCATTAAGTCGAGGATCCACAATCAGTTCAAACTTTTTTAAATCAGAGAGGTGGGGCCGAACCCAATCCAAGAGTTTTTGCTCGTTCTTTGGTCGGTTTCGATCCAAAGGACGCCTACCAGTGATAAGTTCATAGAGGAATACCCCATAGCTCCAAACATCACTCTTGTATGTGAGGCGCCCAGTTTGGATGTATTCTGGAGCCGCATATCCAACTGTTCCCACAACCTGTTTGGATCTTAGAATATCAATCTACAAATCCACATATTGAGAGTGTCTATTTCTATTTCAGCATGTTTGTCTCAATCAAAGATTGTATAACAGTAACAGAATAGTGATAAATATTCCTATTTAGTGGAAAGATAAAAGTTTGTTTGATTAGAAAAAAATAAATGGTGGAAAGTGAAAATGGCAAAAAGTGCAGTGAAAGAAAAGAAAATATATTATCTTATATGAGTTTGATTAAAATGAAACTTTTGCAAGAAAAATGAGAGAAATTAGGAATTCTAATTATAATAACTATTTTTATAAACAAATTTAAACTTTCTTATATTTTTATGTATTTTTTGCAAGAAACTAAACTTAAACGTGATACATGGATTGTACAAGAAAATTAACTTTCTTATAACTTCCACCACTTTCATGCCAAACAAACTCAGATTTTTTTTCCCTTTCTGTCACTTACCACCACTTTCATCCTAACCAAACTTGGCCAAAACGTATAGGGGTACAAATTGAGACAATTAAGGAAGGATCATGTTGCAAATACATACCGCGGTTGAGACATGGCTTACTCCGTCCGAAGGGCCTAGCCGGGCCAACCCAAAATCTGAAAGCTTTGCATTCCATTGGCCATCCAACAGGATATTTGAAGATTTGAAATCTCTGAAGATAATCTGTGCCAATAGAGAACAAATTGCAACTTAGGAAAATGATCTTGACAAATTTGTGCAGTCAGGGAACTACTCGAGGTCATTGCCTATTTTCAAGACCACCAATCTGAAATAGGTATAATTTTCAAAGTTGGCTTCCCAGAACTCGGAAAAACTTTACAAAAGTCCAGTCCAATCCTCCCTCATTTTTTATTTGTTTCTCTCATCTTCAAAAATGCATAATCCTATTCGTTAGCACTGGTTCTCAGTTTCTGATTACTGTTTCTGTTGCCCAATTATATAATGGATGACCATGTTTGAATTGAATAGAAACAGTAGCAACAAGGACAAAGGATACCTGAAATTCCATTCCTTCATGCAGATATACTAAGCCACGAGCAGCATCCTGGGCTATTTTTAATCTTGTAATCCATGGAACAGGTATCTGAAATCGACTTGATATATGATCCTGCACACTCCTGTTTGGCATATACTCATAGACCAAAAGCCGTTGCATCCCTCTTTCGTCATCTTCAGAACAATACCCAACAAGCTTGACGAGATTCGGATGTTCAACAACCCCCAGGACATTTACTTCTGTCACCCATTCCTTATGCCCCTGTGAGACAAACCATGGGGATTTAAGCAACGTATTGAGCATTATTTAATGCAATATTAAAAGAAAAGGATAAGAGCAATGCATACTGAAGAATATTTCAGGTATATGATTGAAAAATGAAAATAATAAGAAAACTACGAGATAAAATTACCTAGATAATTTTAATGAGATTTAGTTCAGAGAAATATTAGGCAGCCCTTTTAAGTTTTCCATGTCCAAAATATATTAATGACACTGTTTCTTTAAAAAAAAAAAAAAAGTCAATAATTTCAAGAAGGCCAATAACATGAGATTAATAATTATTCTGGTGGAAAAAATTTCAGATCCAGGGTCCCTGAAAATATGAACAGCACATCAACTTATTCATGAGCTAGTGCATCTATGTAAGTTTCTCATTTCTGAGACCATGCACCATAAACTAAGCTCCTATTGTTCTCCTCATTTAGACTTTAAAAATTATTATATTTGACTTAAATATTCATAGATATGACATATAATAATTATTTATATTTATATATGACATATAATAATATATAAAATTATATATTTTGTCATGTCCCTCACATGTCGTGTCCTATTTTTTTTTTAAACTTTGCATGTCAACATGTCCATGTTCGTACCTCTTAGCATTGTGTTTGGTTCGAGAATTTGGCTAGGCATTTGGAAAAGGAAAAGAAAAAGGTAATTGAAATTTAAATAAAATATAACTATATTTCACTTACGTTTCACACATCTTTTCCCTTTCCCTTTTCCTTTCCCTTTCCAAATCCCTTCCTAAATCCATAAACCAAACACAACCTAGGTGTCAAGTTTCATACATGAATGCAGCCTCAACCAATACTAAACTAAGAGAAGAATAAGAAGATTATAACTCTAGAAGTCATTCCTAGAATCCTCAAGCATCATGCATAGGGTTGGAATCGCAACACAGTCCCGAAGATTTCTGAAATTAATAAAAATTTCCCCCTTTCGATTGAAAGTATTACATAAATATATTTAAACAGTAGGCAAATTACAACTTCTAATTAGACCTAGGTATCAAAAAACAATAATTAAAGACCTAAAATCCATTTGAACCAACTAAAACACATATATTAAGACAGCACACTAACAAGACTTTGCCAAAACTATGGCCAATGGACCATAACCTCAACTACTGTCCAGAACTTGTATTAAAAAAAAAGTTACCAAAATACTAATCACTAATGAAACATAATAAATTGAAATAGTGTGCCAAAAATGCTCCCACTTAACTATGACCTTCACAAATGACAACATAAATTAAAGTTGCCAAATAAATAATTTTAATGCCACAATCGGGCCAAGTTTTGCTTCCAATTTGAATCTCATGTATTTGCATTTATCACCGTTTACCATTTATAGCTAACATGTTTCTCATCAAGTACCTCTAATTTATTTGATATATATATATATATAAGAGATGTTAGATTTGCATAGTTAATACATTCTTACTTTTAGAGCTAATAAGCAAAGCTCTTCTTATGTTCAATCCACACAAGCTCATATACCTTTATGAAAATTAAAATTGAAAACAGTTAATAGCCAGCACAATTCAAATCTGAATAACAAGAGGAAGAAACCTTGCCTGCAATCCTCTTCTGCTGAGTTGTTTAACAGCGATATCAATCTTTTTGTTTGAATCTTCAGCTTCCCGTATCACACCCCTATATACACCACCAAACCCACCTTCTCCAATCATGAGAGAGCGGCTAAAATTTCTTGTGGCCGTCCTCAGCTCGTCGTATGTAAAGACTCTGAGGTTACTGGGTCTTTGAGACAGAATTGTAAATGAGATCCTCGTACATGATTCAGTGCTTACATCTGACGCATTCTGAGAGTTAAATTCAGATCCAGATTTCCTTGCCTCTCGATCAGTTGATGTGGAAGTGGAGGAGCGAACCGAGATAGACTTTGTAGTCTTCGGTTCATCATTCTTATCTCCGTTCGAGCATGAGAAACACTTCATAGCCCCAAAACTGCCAATCACTACACTGCATATTCAAAGCCATGGAACTACAAAAGTAAGACATTGTTGAGAAGAACCCCTAATTAGCCCTACTCTAACAGCAAAAGCAAACAAGCTTAATCACAAATCATACAAAGGAGACCATCAATATAAAATTAAACTAAACCAATAACCAATGCATTACAAACTCCCAATGAAAATCACTATAAAAAAATAAAGAAGCTACAAGGGATTAGGTAAATTAACAACAAAGTAAAGTAAAGATGCCTGATTCTTCATTGCAAAAAACAAAACAAAAAAGAAGCAAGACACAGAGAAATCACCAAAGAAGTGTTTACCATTTTCCAAGTTTGCTATTGTGGGTAGTTCCTACAAAGGATTGAACTAATGAAGTATAGAATATTTGAATTCTCGATGTAGATGCTACATAGTTGGCTCTCATCCTTCAGAGACTACGAGTATAATAGGAGCATAAGTCAACAAAAGGATCACCCTAATATTATCATCTCATGGCTATTGAGAACGAGTCAAAAATCAAATAGTTATATTTCTTAATCTTTCTCACTTGCACCTACAGAGCCAAGGTCGAAAAGATTGAGCACCAAATGCTACAGGGTTTCCTTCACACATTTCTCACTTCCATTAAAGGGTATCCATACAAAATCACAAAGTTACCAATCATAAATTTAAAGCTCACATATCACGTATTTGAACTCCAAATGTCATCTAAAATCCATTGAAGAAAACCAGTAGACTTGCTCAAGGAAAATTCAGAAACTCCATTCCCTATGTTTGGCTAATTTGTAGATTATACACACCGCGTCAAGAAAATTCTTATTACAAAGGAGGAAAGAAAAAGAAGAAGAAGAGAAGAAGTCAAATTCATGATACCTATATTGAAGAAATGTTTGTAAGACTATCAAACAAATCTTCCAACACCCAGATGTTATTTCAGCTTATAAGTACAGGTTTCACAAGAATTGATAATGGGTTGATGCAAAAATTCCCAATTTCATAATCAGACAATGAATTAAAGCGCGAAAGAGTTCATATTTGTACCTAAAACGAAGGGAAAAGAAATAAGAAAATGATGATGATGATGATGATGATGATAGTGAAGCAATTCACCTTGTATAATCTGAGTGGAATTGGATGAGCAATCCTTAAGAGAGGTAAACCTCGGGGAAAAAAAAAACATTTTGGTAGGTTTAAAGTTTAAAGAGAAACAAAACTTGGAAGAACCAGATATTATTTCAGCTTACAAGTACATGCTTCATCATAATTGATAATGGGTTGATGCAAAAATTCCCAATTTCGCGTGAAAGAGTTCATATTTGTAAACTAAAACGAAGAAAAAGAAGAGAATGATGAAGAAGAAGTAATTCACCTTGTATAACCAGAGTGGAATTGGATGAGCAATCAATCCTGAGAGAGAGACAAACCCTCATAGAAAAGTCATGTAGGTGGGTTTAAAGTTTAAAGAGAAACCCAGAAGAGAGAGGAGGGCGTAGAGAGAATACAAGTGGGCAACGAGGGCTCCATGATCTGCTACACGAGAAGTCAATGGCAGGCAGCTGGAGTTCAGCTCACCAACCCTAAACCCCATTGAAAATGCAGACGGTTAGAGAGAGAGAGAGAGAGAAACAGAGAGAATAAAGAATTGTGAAGATGTGAAAACGAAAGAGAGACTGTGAATAAGACACAGAATTTTACAGTCCAAGAGCAAGATGACGAAAAATAATCATCAACATGAATACAAAAAGTACATCATATTCATTTTCATTTTCATTTTCATTTTCATTATTTTATTTTTATTTCACTATCTAAAAACATTTCACTTTTATTCTTTAAATTATCACTATTTTTTTTTTTTTTTTGTTTACTGGTAAATTTTAACGTTTTTAGTCTATCTTAAAAAAAAAATTTAAAAATCAATATGATCCGACTGAGACACTATATAAACTAATAATTGCTGACCCGTGATTTGATGGATAAAATGTTATTTTAAAATTTGAACAATTTAAATTTTGTAACGTGACTTGTCCAAACCCATTTAAGCCTAAATTATAATTTAAAGTTATTTGTTCAAGCTTAATCCTATTTAAACTCGAATTGTCCGAATAAATTTCAGTGTATGTGTGTGTGTGTGTTTTTTTTTTAGCTAAATTATTAATTTGTTAAAATTAAACTCTTTATATTTTTTTTTAAAAATCACTAATAATATCAAAACAAATAATGGATAATTTTTATAATTTATGAGTGAAAATAAAAAAAGAAAATTTTTTGTATTGTATTACTTGTGTATATAATATATATTCAATATGATTTAATGATCTAAATTACTTTAATATCATGTAATGGCTAATAATTTATATATATATATTTAATATTTTTATATATCTATATATATAATTCAGGTTGTTTGGGTTATTTGATATTTTTGCCTAAGCTCGTCTAAATTTAATTCGAATTTCTTAATTTTTGTCTAAACCTATATGAAATTTAAAAATATCTTGTCCAAACTATATAAAAATTCGGAGTGGCTCGAATTAAACCCGCCCAAGTTACACCCTTAGATTATATCCCACAACTAATTTAATGAATTTTTTATTGTATAATTTAAGTTATCTAAATTATGAAATTATTTTTTCCCCCATCAAATTAAGGTTTAATGATTATTAATTTTTATAACTAAACTAAACCAAATGAATAGAAATAAGAATTTTACAAAGAAAATAGTAGTTTAAGGATGAAATTTTTTTTAAAAAAATAGTGATGATAAAAGTTTTTTTTTTATTATTGAATTGTATTTATATAAAAGCAATAATAATTTGTTTTATATGATATGTACTAGATGATGATTTTTTTTTCCAGTTATGATTAGGACCCCCCATATTTCCATCCCCACCACCCCGACACACACGTGGGGGTTGGTGAGTGGGAGAGAAGAAAGAAAAAAAAATAATAATAATTTTGACCAATCGAAAGGCAAAAAAAGTTGTGGGGTACCTTTGAAAGGGGTCTCAATCTTTTTTGTTTTTTTTTTTAATTGTGATGTGGTGAGTAGTGGATGATGATGTTATTGCAAAGTTGAAAGATTTGAATTTGGTGTTTGGAGATTGAACATGACGCACCGACTTTATACCAAGGACCTAAGTTTATGGAGGGGATGCCAAGTGACTCATCATGAGCACTTGGTGTTGAAAAATTAATAATAATAATAATAATAAAATAATTAAAAATATCATTCATGATATGCTGGAATTTTGAAGGGGCATTTTTTAGGCCAAAAGGCATAACATTCCATTCATAATGCCCAAAGGGTACTGTAAAAGCCGTTTTATAGCGATCCTGTTCTGCAATCTCAACTTGCCAATATCCTGATTTAAGATCAAATTTAGAAAAAATTATAGCATCCTGGAGACGGTCTAAAAGATCCTTTTTGTTCGGAATAGGATATCGAATCCATTTTAATTTATCATTTAACGGTTTATAGTTAATGACAAGGCGGGGAACACCTCGTTCTAACTCTGCATTTTTATTCACATAAAAAGCGGTACAACTCCACGGGGAGTGACTAGGACGGATGGTGGGATAATATCATAACTCCCATTCAACAAACTGAAGTTCTAACCGCTATTAAGCTTGAGCTTGATCCGACAACCAACCAACAGGTTCAACAGTCTGATGTTGTTTACACCCTTATTCAGACAATCATTTACCATTTTATTGGTACCAATACTTCCTCTCAGGACCGCGGCCGTGAGCTTCTCCAGAACTTGCGTTGTCCATCCCTAACCCATTTCCGATGGTATAAGGATGTTTTCCTTCTTAAGGTTACCCAACGCCCTGATGCTAACAGTACTCACTGGAAAGCCAAATTTATTGATGGCCTTCCTACCCTCTTCGCCGAGCGTGTTAGGAAAAAACTTCGGGACCGCCATGACCGGATGTCTATTCCTTATGAGCAGTATACCTATGGACAATTGGTGTCCATTGTCACCGATGAAGGTCTTTCTCTGTGTAATGACCTCAAACTCCAGTATCAAATGAAACAACACAACTATTCCTTATGAGCAGTATACCTATGGACAATTGGTGTCCATTGTCACCGATGAAGGTCTTTCTCTGTGTAATGACCTCAAACTCCAGTATCAAATGAAACAACACAACTTAACAGGAAGAAAATAATTAGGCGAGTTTTGTGATCAATTTGCCTATGAGCCCGGAATTAAATACCCAGCCAAAACCAGAAAAATTGTTCATAAAAAATCCTCCAAACCGTACAGAAAGAAGTCTCATCCAAAGACTAGCCATCCGAAACCTATCAAGAAGTTTTATCCAAAGAAATCCACCAGTAAAACAAAAGGTAAATCTAAATCAGAAGTTAAATGCTACAAATGTGGCCAAACAGGACATTATGCTAATAGATGTAGATCTAAAGCAAAATCCAAGGTCAATGAATTAAATCTTGATCCCGACATTAGAGACCAGTTAATTCAAGCCTTAGAGGCTGAAGAATTTTCAACTGAAGATGAACTCCCTTCTGAGGATGAGCTTAACCAGTTATATTCTACCTCCTCCGATGAAGATGAACCAGAAGAACCCTGTCCCTGTAGTACCAACCACCAGGAACAAATATCAGAAATTAATTACTGGAAATCCATAGTGGAAATGAATGGTTTACACTTAGGAGAACCAAGTAGTATTAATGTTTTAACAGACACTCAAAAGGATATGCTTGCTGTTGCAGACCAGATCTAGGATCCAGAAATAAAAATAAAATATTTAAAAATGTGCTATGAACACCAACAAACAATAACAGAAACCCCTCCTATTCCAGATTATTCTTATAATCTTCAAACAGTCATCAACAGGATTCAGACTAAATCCATAGTAGAACAACCTACTACTCTCCAGGATTTAAAAATGGAAATTAATGTTCTTAAAACAGAAGTTAAACACTTGCAAACCGCCAGTGAAGCTGCAATCAAAGATATTAAGTATCTTCATACCCAAATTCCTAAACAGAAAGAAACTGAACAAAAACTTGAAGAACCAGAATCCTCTACTCCTTATTTATTACTTGTTAATCAAGTTACTTTTCAGAAATGGTACATAAAAATTTCTTTTATGATCAAACCGGATTTTATCATTAAGGATGCCATTGCCTTAGTTGATAGCGGAGCAGATATGAACTGTATCCAAGAAGGTATAGTTCCAACCAGGTATTTTGAAAAAACTACCCAGAGTCTTACCAGTGCAAGTGGAAATTCTCTCCAAATCAGGTATAAAATTCCAGAAGCTTATATTTGTAATGAAGATCTATGCCTACCCACATCTTTTGTCGATTCAACAGGTATTTATTCCCAAATACAAGGAAAAACAGTTACCTTTGAATTTATCACTCAACCGTATACTAAAGAATTAGATCAGATTCGTGATTTAATTTCTGTCAAACAAAACCAGATAAATTTGATTCAAAAAGAAGTCTCTTTTTTAACAACAGAACAAAGATTACAACAATCTTCTTTTCAACAGAAAATTAAATTAATTGAAAAAGAATTTCAATCAGAAGTCTGTGGTACTGTTCCTAATGCTTTTTGGAATCGTAAAAAGTACATTGTTACATTGCCATATGAACCAGATTTTGATGAAAAATATATTCCAACTAGAGCTCGCCCTAGTCAAATGAAAAAGGAATATATGGAAATGTGTAAAACAGAAATTCAAGATCTTCTCATGAAGAAACTTATCCGTCCTAGTCACTCCCCGTGGAGTTGTACCGCTTTTTATGTGAATAAAAATGCAGAGTTAGAACGAGGTGTTCCCCGCCTTGTTATTAACTATAAACCGTTGAATGATAAATTGAAATGGATTCGATATCCTATTCCGAACAAAAAGGATCTTTTAGACCGTCTCCAGGATGCTATAATTTTTTCTAAATTTGATCTTAAATTAGGATATTGGCAAGTTGAGATTGCAGAACAGGATCGCTATAAAACGGCTTTTACAGTACCCTTTGGACATTATGAATGGAATGTTATGCCTTTTGGCCTAAAAAATGCCCCTTCAGAATTCCAGCATATCATGAATGATATTTTTAATCCATTTACAGAATTTACTCTCTTCTATATTGATGATGTTTTAATTTTCTCCTCATCAATTGACCAGCATGTCAAACATCTTAATATTTTTAAGAATGTTATTATCAGAAATGGTTTGGTTTTATCTGCCCCAAAGATGCAATTATTTCAGACCACTATCAGATATTTAGGACATAATATTTCTAATGGTAGTATTATTCCTATTAACCGAAGTATGGAGTTTGCCTCTAAATTTCCAGATGAAATTAAAGACAAAACTCAATTACAGAGATTTCTAGGTAGTCTCAATTATATTCGTGACTATTACCAAAACTTATCTGCAGATGCTACCATCTTGTATACCAGGTTAAAAAAGAATCCACCTCCATGGTCTCCAGAACATACTTTAGCAGTTCAGAAAATTAAAGCTAAAGTTCAACAGTTACCTTGTTTAAATTTACCCAATCCTGAATGGAAGAAAATTGTGGAAACAGATGCTTCTAATGAAGGATTTGGTGGTATTTTAAAACAGTTTAATCCCAAAACTCAGAAGGAAGAACTTCTACGTTGGTGAGTGGGA